TCAAGCACAAAACCCATCCCCTCCCCCCCATCCATCACACCAAACCCCAGATCCTGATTCTGTCCCCCAATCCCCTCCATCATCCCAGTATCAACATCCAAATCCACATCCATACCCCCTTGAGGGCTACAATCAAAACTATGATTATACATCGGACCCTGATTCTGCATGATATACGGCGGGAGGGGTCCAAAGATCTGGCCCTCAAGATCATCGTAGAGCGGCACGTCAGGAGCGGTCGTCCCGTTACCGACCATGTAGATGGACGGATCAGGGATTTGGAAGCCGAGCATGTTTTCTTGTTTGACGTCGATGTTGCTGATGTTGCTGTCGTACTCCATCATGGGGTGGGAGGGCGGATAGGCGAAGGGGTCTTCGGTGCTGAACATCATGGCGGACATGTCGGGGAGGGAGGCGCTGTTCATATTTGGATTGAGGGAGGGTTGTGGATAGGGGTGTGAGAAGCTGTTGTTTGTATTGCTTGATTCGGGGGTTCCTACGGAGGACATATCGCGAGACATATCGGAGGGGGTGAGAAGCTCTGAAAAGGGCTTTTCCGTATGTCGGAGATTGGGGTTGGAGGAGGTTTTTACGGTGAAGCGAGAGCCGTCTAGAGAAGCTCTAGGACTGCGTGTTTGTGTGACGGCTGGAGGTGTTGGGAAAGTTCTTGCTCTTATAATGGAGGTTATTGCTGGTGCGAGGGACTCATCCCGGGAAAGCTGCGAGACCGAGCTCGTTTGGGGCTCAATGGTGGGTGAGGAAGCAGAACGCTTGTTCCTTGGACCCTGGGCTGATTGGCGATTCTTCTTCAATCTCTTGGGTAATCTTTCAAAAAGTGGCTTCGTGAGTTAGTCTGAATCTTTCAAATAAGCTTGGCTAGTCATATCTACCTTGAGTGCCGCTGAGCATCTGTCGGCCGCTTGGCTCATTCTGGCAAGACCTGCAAGAGCATCCTTGCCGTCATTCGCATCTGCGAGGATATCCAGACACCTATCGCTGTCGGGTTGTTCTATAACGTAGAAGACTAGTGACAAAATGGAAACTAAAAGCAGTTAGTGTCTAATTGATTGATATTTTGGGATAATTATTAAAAGCTTAGGCTATAGCTTGAAAGGATTTGGGGACTTGGGACCGAACGAGGAGATGATCATGGGACTTACAAAAGGTCGTGTACATGGTAAACCAGTATGCACCCAACAAAAGGCCTCGCTTCTTCATCTCCGTCGTAATATGAACAATATTTCTCGATACACTCACGCAAGCAGCTGCACAGGCATAAGACCGCTCATCGAGAGTTTTACCACTCGACGCCTTATGAGAAACATAATGAAGGAAGGGACGGTAAAGCATCATCTGTACGTGTGCATAGGCTAAGCGTAGGAGTTGCTGGACCCTAAATGCTGTTAGCCTCGTTTTCTGATTGGTAAAACATAAGTCCTTCGAAAGGTCATAATTGGAACACAAAGCATACCTAAGTACATCTGGTGACGCATCGCCTCCAGGTCGAAGTTGCATGGGCAGTTGATCCTGCCATTTCCTCAAATCCTTTTCAATCTCCCTGATTTTGATATGGCTGATAACGTAGGTAGAGCTGTTATTCCCATTGACGGATTGTTCGACGCCTTTTGTGGGATATATGTACTTGATCACATCCGCCAAGATAGCCATTAGTGCCGTATGTGCATTCGAAGCCGCATAGAGAGAAGTCTTTCCCGGTGGCATGGGCAAGATGGAATCTTTGGTGATGTATTCGTCGTCAACCTCAATTGGGAGAACTTGGTCAATATCATCCGTACTGAGCATCTGAGGGAATCCCAACAAGGCAGAAACATAAGTATCCATCTTTCGGACAATCCAGAACAATCTTCGTCTGACTTCGCGTTCAATAGGATTGAACTTATGGCTATGTGTGAGGTTACGATGCAAACCCATACGGAGAGCGGACCTCAGAGCAATCCCGATGTAGGAGTAGCAAGTGCTCAAATTTGACGAAGACTGCAGGAAGAGAATCATGAAAAGGATGGTCTGTAGCGATACAATATCGCGACAGTCGGTAATATCCACCATTCCGCGACCTTTCTGAAAGTATATGAGCCTAGAAGAATTTTGTTAGTTCGCATTGACAAAGATACTTGACCAGTGTAGACATTAGTCGGAGAACAGTGCTTTTGAGCCCGACATCGTGCCAAGAACTAGCCGAGCGATTTCTGGGTGTAATAATTCCAAACGTTTATGAGAACCCGTCAATCTATTTGGCCGCTCCAACGAGCTGCGAAGATTGCAAATGTTTCTTCAGCAAGAATCAATTAAACTTTAAACTAAAACTCAAAATTCGTCTAGATCTCTTGATTCAGATTTGCGCCCATTCGAAACATGTGCACAAATCTCAACTGTAGAACCGCTTGATCGGGGATTTTGAGGGTATCTAAGAAAAGAAGTGATTACTTACCCTCGATTTAGCCCCTCCTTATATTCTACGTCAGCATGAGAGAGTTTGTCGGTATCAAAGATGGAACCCAATCCGATGACAACATACAATAGAGCCAACTCATTGCTTATTATAGGACTCGACGAATCATAAATTCTGTCAACTATTTCATAAAATGTTGGTTGATGCACAAAGCGTAGTAGAGTGCATGCATAGTTCAATGAGTTTGCACACAAAGCTAAGGCAGTCTCTTTGCTTGGTAAATCCATGGCAACACTGGCACTTGGGTTTGTGATGCCTAATGGATTCTCTCTTGGTCTTCTCGGTAGAAAAGGAGTGCCAGGCTTCTCATCATTCCCGAGTAGATCTCCAAATTGCGCTCTCAAAGAAGCGTGGAAAACTGTACCGGACGAACCTCCCTGCAAGATAGATTAGCACCCGTAGCAAATAGCTCTAAGAGAGACCAAGGGAACTGATGCAATGTATGGTTGATGCTTGAGAAAGACGAATCAATGAATGCAACAATGAACTGAACTTACGTGAAAATCCCATCGTCCCTCTTCATCAAGGTCCAGTTGACCTGTCAATGCAATCATGGAGGATAATTGGGCATCCTGTTCGGCTCCTGCAGCCCTGCTCTGTGAAATCTTGGCATCGGAAGCTTGTCCTTGTCGGTCAGCTATGATGGCGTCAATATTTGGGTCGTCTAAATCAACGTCTGGCAGAAACGTGCGAAGCAACACTTCGGCCTTCTGCAACCGTTTCTCCAGAGATTCGATATACTGCGGCGCTGGATTTCTTCTCCGGTTCGAAGGTTGATCATATGAGCAATCTGCGAGAATGTTACTATCGTGTCATTCAGACCCCCTGAGGATTTCCCCGGACATCTCCACCTACCATAGCTGTACACGGTGCAATGCGTACATGGTTGCTTGCCATCGCATTTGATTTTCTTCCTCCTGCACTCGTCGCATGCTCTTGTTACCCGTCGTCTTTTCTGAAGGGGATTTACGCGCGGTGTCTGCGAAATCGGCGTCCCTGAGGCGGGTGATGATGCTTGCCAGGCAGAGGACTGCATCGAATTGGGATCATCATCGACATTGGACTCGGGCGAGGTGGTTGTTGGGCTGTTCGTGGAGGGGGCGATTGTCACGGACATGCTCGAGGTGTTGGTCAGCCTATTGCTTTGGTATGCGATACGCCACCGCGGGGTGTGGTCCAGGTTGCACAGAATATCGCTTCCAGGAACTCAGCGAGCGAGTCACCAGTCTGATATGTTAATGAATAAGTTGCAACTAGGTGCAAGACTTGCAAAGACGATGTTCAGGTGTCAAGAATTCGTTTGCAACTTGGAATGGGGCAAGGACCGTTCGGATGTGGCATCGATGGGGTGGAATTAGTGACCTGCCTTCCTGCACCGACTTTCTTATTGGGACGTTGACGTTTTAGTAATGGAAGACTATTTTCTCTACTACTCCAAGGAATCGAAGGGCGCGGCGTGCATATGCCCAGGTTGGTAGTAGTGGTAGTACCAATTTGTATGAACAATGTTCTTGGAGTTGGCTTTCAGAGCTGCTGGTAATAGGCTGGGTACAGAAGTGTTTACGTGGACGGTTGTGCTCTTCCGTCTATTGAGGAGTATAAAAATTAAAAACGAAGCGTAGTTTTGGACTGAATTATGCCTCGACTTTCGAAGAAACACTCACAAGATGCTGCAATTTTGCTGGGCTGCAGAGATGACTGCTAAAGGAAGGAATCTGATGCGAGTGAGCACTGCTCAGCCTCAGTTGGAGTGCAATTATTGCAATAACTACCGTGGGTACTACTAGGTACGGGGTAGAGAGAGGGTGGGGCGAATGTTCGGGAAGGGGTCCAATGCCTACCTAGGTATGCAAATGTTGGAGTTTAGACGTAGCCAATGGAGAAACTTATTTGCTGATGAACGCCAGGATCGAAAAGTAAATATTTGCGAGTGGATGCAAAAGATGTCTTGGTGTTCTTGGGGGACCGTCAGCCAAGCATATATAGAGTACTTCTATGCTTGGTCTACCACTTTCAGAAGCCGTTGGAGGGAGTTTGTAGGGAGCTATCGTATCGCTGCGCTGCTTTCCATTCCCCTACGAGTTCTTTGATACAAAACAACCTCTCAACCAATTGGAAAGCTCGGAGGCCTCGACCCCGTTAACTCCATGTATTGCTCCGTGCTCCGTCTCGCTCTCACTTGCATCCGATGTTAGTGCCGATGATGTCCAAGCACTTACTAACCTTACTAACACCAGACAAGGATGTGCTAAGCGGGTATGATTACTCAATAGAAGTAATTTCAAAGTGGCTACGAGTACTTGAGTACCAGTACGAGTACCTAGGTAGGTACTCATCCATCAGAAGTATTTGTCTTGGAGACCAGAAACCCGCAAAGAGTGTAGTGAAAGAAGCTCTTCTGGAAAAAAGAAGAAACTCCACATGTTCTTCTCCGACATGCAAGCCAGATACAAGCAAGTACTACTGGTCGATCATTCTACCCACTCTTTCATGCAGGTCTTGATTCGACATCAAGAAGGGGGAAAGCTCTCAAACTTGCTCGGCAGACGCTACTTTACTTTCCTAATTGACTTTTACAGTACACCATGGTGGAGAGCAATTCCGCGGACCGCGCTGTCAAAGTCGATACTGATACTGTAGGAGTACTGGCACGGAGACAGTTGAAAAGACTGAATCATCAATGTCAGGGCCACTTGGCAAAGTTTCCTTGGATGAAAATGGCAGAATGTCCAGTCATCTCAATCCCATACTCGTGTAATACTCGAGTAATAGAGAAGCAGGGCCACCAACGCGGAGACGAGGTGCATAGTCTGAGGCTGGTCGGGTTACTGTGACTGTAACCACACACCGCATTCAGAAATGGCTCAATCGCTCCTTCTTCATTCTCTCATACCTAGGCTGCTAGGTATCGCTGCCGACGGAGATCAGCACTCACCCGCACCGCATGTGGGCTTGCAAGTACGCGTACTCGAGGTACTCGATACACCTACTCGAGTACTGTGGCAGAGCACTCGTACTCCAGTACCCTACGCCAAAGCCGAGATACGGCTGCACTCCGTCATAGCTTCTTATTTGGCCTCAGAAGTCAGGCAGTGTGCACTCTTCATCGGCTCCAAAGGGTGCAGGTGCCCTTGCATTGTTGCTCCCACAGAATTGGCTTCAGCTGAATGTCGTGATGGCTGAAGGAAATTGCATTGCATCCTTCCTTTTGTAGCAGGCGTGAGTGTACCTATAGGTACCGATCCCTTCTTTCCCAAGTGACCTTCCAGTTGCTCGTAAGGTAGCGAGCTCATTGCGTGCTGTGGGCTGTGGTGCTTCGACCTTCGACCCCTCAGTGCGAGGACTCAGCTCAGGACTATATTTGCTCGGCTGCCCCTCAACACAAGCTCTTCCTCCTCTCCCATCACTCTCCACCTGCAATTTCTTTCTTCCTCCACCCCCGAACGCCTCCAACCCGTTACCAACAACACCATGCCTATCGATGAACCCCCACCATCCAACATCCACAACTGCACCCCTCACCATTTTGGTCTCCCCGACCAAGGAGCGGGACCTGACCTGACGTAGCCAGAATACCTAGGTACTTGACCTACCTAGGTACTTGACCTACCTAGGTAAGGTGGACTTCTTACTAACATGGTGGGTTGAACCCACCGGTCTTGTTGCCAGCTCCAGCCGCCTGCAGCTGAGCACCAAACCGCCATTTGTCAATTTGTTGAAACTAGGCATTATGATGCCACCAAACCTGGCCAACAGCTGCATCCAATGCTTCGTACGAGGCTTCATGCCCCTGATCGAACCAAACATGTGGGTTGGCTTCGAGGCTCGGAGGTGGTAGATGGTGGGTGTGGGGGTGTGCTGGCCTTCGTTTGGTCGTGGCTTCCCGTGTCGTTCCAGCTTGCCTCGAGCTAGCTTTTGCTTGCAGATTCTGTAGGTCTGGAACTCGCAACTTTACTTAAAATCACTCAGTGCCCTCACCAAAGTCCTCTTTATCACGTTCAATTGTTGGACCATTCCCCACGACTAGATTCACTGCCAATCTGGAATACGATTGCCGGTTTGAACGGACGGATAGAAGCATTACTTGGAATACAGACTGCTTTCGCGGAATTTACTACCTACAAAACTACTCCCAATCGGAGCGAAGAAACTATGTCGACGAAACCTATTTTCGTGGCTACCCACCCACGGGCTTGCAGCACTGCTTTTGAACGGGTAAGCGTTGGAAACGTTGCACATCTGCCCTCGCCAATGACTAACGAGTCACTCGCAGGTTTTCATGACCCGTCGTGATATTCTCACATGCGTCCACGAACCATTCGGAGATGCTTTTTATTTCGGCCCTGAGAGATTGAGCGCCAGATACGAAAACGACGAGAAGGCTAGAGAAGAGAGCGGCTTCAAAGACAGCACATATAAGACCATATTCGAAAGGATTGAGAGAGAAGGAAAAGAGGTTCGACCCAGGCTTTACTAGAATTATCAATCCAAGTAGCGATCGTGTCTTTGGGATCTGTCATGATGTTCGAAAACAAACAAAAGGGGCAATGCCGGGTTTCCCACGGCGAGTGCTTCGGGTTATGCTGGAAGTTTTTCTGCCTGCCCTAGTATCTGTCCTTTGTACATCCACCTGATATTGGACTGTTATGAGGCATGTCCCAACTCTCCATGATTGCATATCAAATGAGAGCTTGGAAATAATACCGATTGAAAACTTATACTTTATAGGGAAAACGTCTTTTTATCAAGGATATCACTCACTATCTTTCTCCGCCTGACGGAAAACTTGCAACCATTGCTCCTTCGCTTGGAGGAAAATCAGCCAAAAAGGGGGTGGGAACAAATGGCGAGACAAATGGAGCTGTGGGTGGGGTGTCGGAAAATGGAGTCAATGGTCACTCCAATGGCGCCGCCAATGGACACGCCAATGGAACCAATGGCAAAACCAAGGCACCCTACCCATACGACACGGCTCCTGAGCCAGGAAATCCTACAGTCGTGCCCGCTGAGATCTTGAAACAATTTCACTTTACATTCCTTATTCGGCACCCTCGTTACAGTATCCCATCATACTATCGTTGCACCATTCCTCCATTGGACAAGGTTACCGGATTTCATGACTTCATGCCATCTGAAGCCGGATACGATGAACTTCGACGTGTGTTTGATTTTCTCAAGGCTGAAAATCAAGTGGGACCAACTCTTGCCGGTGGAGAAAAGATCATAAAGGAAGGAGAAGTTACAATTACCGTAATCGATGCAGATGATCTTCTGGATGATCCAGAAGGAATCATCTCTGCGTATTGTAAGGAAGTTGGTATTGAATACTCGCCTAAAATGTTGATTTGGGACACTGAAGAGGATCATGAAAGAGCTAGAGAAGCTTTTGAGAAGTGGACAGGTTTTCATGACGATGCTATCAAAAGTAACTCTCTTAAGCCTAGAAGTGCTGCTCATGTAAGTTTTTTTTCCCCATTTTTCCAATTCTTCTTGCGCAACGCCAATGTCTTAATGGCAGCGAGGGAAATTTGAATCGCAACTAACCAACCCTATAAGAAGAAGAAGGATAAACCCGTCGATCTCGAAAATGAGGAATGGAAGCAGAAATATGGTGAAACGGGACAGAAGATCATCCGAGAGACGGTGGATGCTAATCTCGCCGATTATGAATACTTGGAATCCTTTGCGATTAAGGTTTAGATTTAGAGTCCCTGTTGCTTGTGGCGTTTTGGTACAAAACACCAAGCTGCTGAGAATGGTATATGTAGACTTGGACTTGATGATTTGTTGGAGGGATGGAAGGATTTGGAATGGTACAGTACAGTATATGGACTTACGGTTGACATCAGTAGACTGGGGATCATGGAACTGGGAATTACAAATATGGGAAGTGGGAGGAGTATGAATGAATGTTGATGAGTGATGAGTCTTTTTTAGTTTAGTTTTTTTTCATTGGGTCGTAGTAGTGGCCCTTTATTGTTATATGTGTTTCTTTGGGTATATGTGTAGAAGAATGTTAAATAATTATGTTTACTGAGGACTTGAGATGTTATGAATACTGTTCTTTGATATTGAATCTTGAATCTTGATTGCTTTATTAATGTGATGTGATATGGGAGATATTACGTAATTCCAACAGCACGCCAACATAGAGACTAATTATTTCATAAACGATAGAAAAAAGGAGCTCACGGCATCTCACAAACCACATCAATATTGATCCCCATCTACAAATTCAACGTCTTTACCATGTCTGTCTGATGCCAGCTTTGCATTACTTAATACTTATCCCTTTAATCATGACCTTCCAAAGCGACACCTTTGCTTCCAGCAAAAGCTCCATCGGCTTGTTGATTGTTCCTACCATCATCAGAGTCGTATGTTTATATTAGCATGCACAGCAAAACTCTACAGGTAATCTTACCAATTTCTGTTGTTACTGTATAGTATTTAATCTCATGTCTCAGTACAGCGATCTACAACATCTTCTTTCATCCTCTCGCAAAATATCCTGGTAGGTACAGTACAGTACAGTACAGTACCTATACAAAAACCTCCAGGCACATGCATTGAGAAAAACACAGGACCACCTCTACGCGCAACCTTTCACTTTCCCAATGCGTTCTCCAAGCTACGAGGAACTTCTTATAGAGATACTGAGGCACTGCATGAGCGGTTTGGGAGTGTGGTGAGGATTGTGCCTGATGGTCTCTCTTATAATACACCACGGGCTTGGAAAGGTATGTTTCTGGGAACGTATGGCAGGCCTTTTGCTTATTGTTGTAGATATATATGGAGTGAAAGAAGATAGGTCTGGGTTAGGTAAAGACCCGGCTTTTTATAAGCGTGTTGGTGGGGTGCATATTCTTAGTACGTGATCTTACCAAGTATATATCCTGATTTTAGTTATGTTCCACAGCTTATTTGAAGATGCAAATCAGGAAGATCATGCGAGGATTAGGAAGGTACTCGCGCCGGCTTTTTCAGACAGTGCACTTCTGGCTCAAGAACCCCTTCTGAGGCATTATTTTGACCTGTTGGTTGAGAAGTTGAAAGCGAAGATTGATGGGCCTGCCGAGGGAAGGGTTGATATGATGGCGTATTATAACTTTACGACGTTTGATATCGTTTGGTGAGCACTTTCTAACCACAGAGTATTCTAACGATCTTCTAATTTGCAAGTGATCTCGTACTTGTTGAACCTTTTGGGGCGCTTGAGGGCGGGCGATATCATACTTGGATTAGGTTAGTGTTATACTACTTTGCTCCGTATGGATATAGTATTGATAATCCGATTTAGAAATGTTTTCGAGTCTATCAAGATGCTGGGTTGGATCCGTCTTGCATCCAATTATCCTGCCGTGGGTATACTCTTCTCGATTCTCCAATCGCTCGTACCGTCCTTCGCGCGGAGGCAGGAAGAACATATGGAGTTTACGGAAGAGAAGTTAAGGAAACGCCTTAGTCTTAATACGGAACGGAAAGATATTATTGCCTATGTAACCCTTCAATCTTTCCTCTCAACTCTCAGGCTCAGGTTGTATTACTAGCTGACATATATTTCAGATCAATAGTGACAATGATGAGAACGTCGGATTGAGCTACGTGGAGATTTTGGGAAACTCCCGCACTTTACTTACTGCCGGCTCCGAAACAACAGCCACGCATCTGAGTGGCGCGACCTGGTACCTACTCAACCATCCCGAGATTCTGCATCGTGTGCAAGAGGAGGTCCGCAAGGCTTTCACGACGGCGGATGAGATTACACTTCTTTCAGTCAGCGTACCGGGACGTCTCCCATATCTCGAAGCCGTGATTCAAGAATCTTTCCGTTTGTATCCGTCTGTGCCTGCTGCTCTACCGCGGATTACGGGTCCAGAGAGAGCATTCATAGACGGGAAATCCGTTCCCGGAAATTTGCGTTGTTAATTTAGTATTTGATCTGTTTTTATGCTCAAGCGAAGCTTACCCAGCGTCCTAGATTTCGGTTGGCGTGCATCAGTGGTCTACCTACCGCCACCGCGAAAACTTCGCTAGACCCGATGAGTTTCTTCCGGAGCGTTGGCTAGCTGACGCACCTGAGGAGTTTAAGGATGATAAGAAAGAAGCGCTTCAACCGTTTCTTCTTGGGCCGAGGGGTTGTCTTGGGAAGAGGTATGTGTTCGCTAGCTCTACTCTAACAACTAAAAATCCGCTGAATTCTAATTCGTTGTGAATATTGGTATAGCCTTGCTTATTTCGAGATCCGATCGATTCTCACTCGTATGTTGTGGCATTTCGAGATGGAACTTGAGGATGAGAGTCTGTCTTGGTTGGAGGGTCAGAGGAATTTTACTTTGTGGGATAAGTCGGGTTTGTGGGTGAGAGTTGATCATGGAAGGGTCTAAAAGACAACCAGGACACTTGACGAATATGTAATCATCAAGGCTGCAAAAGTTGAAAAATGGATCACTAGACGAATGTGATTCCTGCAAGAGGTGCAGCAGTGCTATATGCAAGCAGTTCTTCAATCACCAACTGCGGATCACGTTTTAGTTGGTTGCTACAGTAGATAATCTTCGCTCCAACAATAGACCAACATTAAACTAACCACACCTAGAAACACCCCACAAAACGATCCACCAGATAAGACCGTTGGCTCAACGAGTCAACATACACATCCCTCAACTCTCCTCACTCCATAAACGAAGAATATGTAGTCCAATACCAAACTCACACATCTTCACACGAAACCAATCTATTCTCCCCCCCGCACAACAACACCAAAACAACATGGGCATAACATACTCCCTCTTCTTCCCACCAAGCCCTCGCTTGACGGAAAGGAACTTGCCACGCCAAGATGGCAAAGTATTCCTTATCACTGGCGGAGCCTCTGGCACCGGTTACGAACTATTTACCATCCTCTACCAAGCAGGAGGAAAGGTCTACATAGCAGGATGTTCAGAAGCAAATGCCCAATCCTCCATAACAGCCATCAAAACCCTATTTTGCAGCTCACCCGGCGCTCTAGAATTCCTCCCCATCGCTCTCGATGACTTCTCGACCATCAAAGCTGCTGTAGTTAGGTTCATGGCGTCGGAATCGCGTCTCGATGTCTTGTTCAATAACGCAGGTGTCTCCAATCCACCCAAAGGTTCATGTGGAGCTCAGGGGCAGGAATTACAGTTAGCTACCAATTGTCTCGGTCCCTACCTCTTCACACAACTCCTCATCCCCATCCTCGTCCGTACTGCGGAAAATACACCCCCCGCCGCAGTCCGCGTGATATGGACCTCCTCCATCGCCACGGACCTCGGCTCCCCAAAGGGGGGTATCGACCTAGCCGACCTCACAACACCCTCTTCCGACCAACAAAAGAACTACGACACCTCCAAAACAGGGAATTGGTTTCTCGCCTCCCATCTCGCTTCACAAGTCGGCTCGAAGGGTGTATTGAGCGTGACGTAAAACCCGGGGAATCTGAAGACCGCGCTGACGAGACATTTACCTGCTATTATCCCGCTGCTTGCGGCGCCGTTGTTGTATCAGCCGCGGATGGGTGCGTATACACAGCTTTGGGCTGGGTTGTCGACGGATCTTGNATTTACCTGCTATTATCCCGCTGCTTGCGGCGCCGTTGTTGTATCAGCCGCGGATGGGTGCGTATACACAGCTTTGGGCTGGGTTGTCGACGGATCTTGTGGGCGAGGATGGGGGGAGGTATGTTTTGCCTTGGGGACGGCTGCATCCGGGTCCACGGGAGGACTTGTTAGATGCTTTGAAGAGGAAGGAAGAGGGGGGGACGGGTGTTGCGGGGGAGTTTGTGGAGTACTGTGACAGGCAGGCTGGGGGGTTTAGGTAGGGTGGGTGGTGATGGAGGTTGTGTGTGTGGTTTCTTTGTTTTTGTATGCGTTTTTCTGCTCCGGCTGGTGCGGGGTAGGGGCGGGGGAGAGGAAGGCTGAGTCGGAAGGGTCTCGTAGCTGGCAGGAGGGTTAAGAGCATAGGAAGGCGGAGGGGATAGGTTGGGAGAAGCTAGGTGGCAAGGGAAACAGAAGGATAGATATGGACGGATAGGGATAAGTTGATGAGGGAGTTGAGTCGGCTATAAGAGTTCCAATGTATAAGGGGTAGGCTCGGTAGGTTGGTGGGTGTGTTTGGCATGTTTACGATCGCTTGTCTAAGCGAGATATAGACTTTCTTGGCTAGAACTTTTGGGCAGAGGGATATGTAATGTATATATTGTGGGCGATAGGAAAGCCTGTAAAGGAATTGAATATGGAGACTTTATAGCATCGTACTGTACATTTGAAATTCTTGTATTCTTGATTTTACAAATACTGAGTACATTCTATGGTACGTCTCATATGGAGAAACACTCAAAACATCCCAAGCCTATCTTCAAACCCTAAGTTTCTCCATCTTTTCTCTCATCTCCCGCGCGTCCTTCTTCGCCAAAGACTTAGCCCGCCTCTTAGTTCTCGCACGAATCGCCTCCTCCCTCCTCTTTGGATTAAGTGATTGCCAATACGCAGCAAACTTAGGATCCCTCTGAATTCTCTGCTTCACATTGTACTTTTCAACTACCACTGTCTCCTGCTTATTAATGTACTCCGGCTCCTTCTTTCGTTCCCTTGCTAACCTGACTTTCTCCCTGAGTTCCATTTTCTCCTCGCGAGGAAGCGCTTTATACCGTGTGGCATGGATACCAGATCGCGTCTTAACATCGCTGTACTTGACACGTTTTGCTCTTTTCTTCTCCGCTCGTATGCTAGCTTCGCTTGCCCGTTTCTGCTGCTGTGTCTTAGAGTAGCCTCGTGTGCCCTCAGGATCACGGTTGTTGGCGTACGGTTCTAGAACTGAATGTTTTACGTTCTCGCTCCATTTCTCTGCAAACGCGTTGTCGTAAATTTCACTCCATTTCACCTCCACCTTGGCGCCTGTTCCCTCCCCAATCAATCCAATCTTTCCCTTTGCTTCCTCCTCTCCAGATTCCGTGGCGAAGGATGAGGATAATCGTCTCAAGACGGCGGCGATGTCGGCGATCGAGTTGGCCTTCTGATCGCCTAGTTGGCGTAATTGCTTTCTATATGGGATGTGATTTCCCTCGTCGTCTTTTTTTACAAAGTCCTCTGGGTCCCATTCTTGTTCGTGGCGTCGACGATATTCGCGCAGTTTTTGGAAGACGGAGCGACCGATTTCAGGGGATGAGGGGAATGTGAGCGTCGCGAGAGGGTGCCAGAGATCTTTTCGGAGGGCGGCCGGGACAGTCTTTTTGCCGTTGAATGAGATTTGGGAGAGGGCGTGGGCGTTCTGGTTTTTGTTAGTATTTGGTTGTCATAGAAGTATGGGGCCGTTATGGGGCGCCAATTGAAATTGAGGGTCTTCTCACATGTAAAGCTCTCTCGAAGGAGTATACGACATTCTTCTTTTGAAGGTGATAGAAGACGTAGATCTGTTGTCCAGGTTTCAGCGGTTCGGAATTTGTGGGCTCTTCCTGCGTTGGGTTCTTTGGAGGTTGGTCGTTGATTGACGAGGACTCAGGTGTGGCATTAGTTGACGAGTAACGAACTCCTCGAAATGCCAATATGGCTTGCCGCGCTATTTGTGGCGGTGTTCGGGTATTCATGATGTGATAAGGCCACTCATCAAGATCTTTTGATACCATAGCTCCCATCCCGCCATATCGCAGAAAGATCAATTTACAAATCGGGATTAGCTTTAATATCACGTGGTCATTAAAGGTGTCGGGCCGGGTAAACCTAATTGACATTTCCCCTTTCAGCTAGACCGGCTACCCCTGTCAAAGTGACGTACGAACAAGGCTGTGGCTGCCCAACATCACCCCACACTTTGAACGACTTTCAGGTTTGCCGGAGCCAATGTTCCAGAGCCTTCTCACAGCTTCCTGTCACTTCTTGTCACTTCCCCCACCAAGTAGCATCTTCCCAACGGTGCCAGCTTTTTCCAGACCACTACCGTCACCTTTTTGCCTCCAACTATTTATTCGACTTTGCTCCTCAAAGAACTTCAACTCTCTTTCAACTCACGAAACGAGCAATACGATTCTGTTGTAACAATACATCCAGTTACAAACGAGCAACATTTCAAACCCACGATTCACCCAACACCACGAATTGTCAATAACCAACATACACACCCGCAAATGACTGACTGATCACAACAACTTGATCAAACCAGCAATATGTCGACCTCCAACATGAATTTTACGGATCGGGCATCCAAATCCCTTTCCGATGCAATGGCAGTAGCCGAAAGCTACGGTCATTCCCAACTGTTACCATTACATCTCGCCCTCTCCCTCCTCGACCCACCAGTCGACGAATCAAAAGACCAAAAAGCAGCTGTCAATGCCTCTCACGGTGCCGCATCACAATCTCTCTTCCGCCAGGTCGTCGAACGAGCTCATGGAGATCCTCAAGCCTTCCAGAGAGCCTTACAAAAGGCCATCGTCCGATTACCTAGTCAAGACCCTCCACCAGAACAAATTTCAATGGCACCAGCCTTCACAAAGGTGCTGAGAGAAGCTCATGACCTGCAGAAGACCCAGAAAGACTCTTTTATTGCCGTAGATCATTTGATCATGGCTCTAGTTCAGGACTCAACCATCCAGAACTTACTGAAGGAGGGGAATATGCCAAATACCAAACTTCTGCAAGACGCCGTCCAGCAGATTCGCGGAACTAAGCGAGTCGACTCGAAGACTGCAGACGCCGAGGAGGAAATGGAAAATCTCAAAAAGTTCACAATCGACATGACAGCATTAGCGAGAGAGGGAAAGATGGATCCTGTGATTGGTCGAGAGGAGGAAATCAGACGTGTGATCCGAATCCTGTCTCGAAGAACGAAGAACAATCCCGTCTTGATTGGAGAGCCAGGTGTAGGAAAGACCACTGTTATCGAAGGGTTGGCACAACGCATTGTCAACTTGGATGTGCCAGACAACCTCGCTGCCTGCAAACTGTTATCACTCGATGTCAGTTCAATTGTCGCAGGCAGTAAATATCGAGGAGAATTCGAAGAACGAATGAAGGGTATATTGAAGGAAATCGAAGAGACCAAGGAGATGATTGTTCTCTTTGTCGACGAGATGCATCTTTTGATGGGAGCTGGTCAGAGTGGAGATGGTGGTATGGACGCTGCCAATATGCTCAAGCCAATGTTGGCTAGAGGTCAACTTCATTGTATTGGCGCAACGACTCTTGCAGAGTACCGAAAATATATCGAGAAGGATGCCGCTTTCGAGCGAAGATTCCAACAAGTTCTTGTCAAAGAACCAACAGTCCCAGAAACCATCTCAATTCTGAGAGGGTTGAAGGAGAGATTTGAGGTTCATCACGGTGTCAACATCTCCGACGGTGCTCTGGTTACTGCCGCTACTCTGGCTGCAAGATATCTCACCCAAAGACGACTACCCGACTCAGCTGTTGATCTCATTGACGAAGCAGCAGCCGCCGTTCGAGTTGCTCGAGAATCACAACCCGAAATTCTTGACTCTTTAGATCGCAAGCTTCGACAACTGAAGATCGAAATCCATGCATTATCCCGAGAAAAGGATGAGGCATCACAAGCTCGTCTCGACCAAGCCAAGAGAGAAGCTGGAAATGTTGAGGAGGAGCTGAGACCTCTTCGTGAAAAGTACGAAAGCGAGAGAGCTCGTGGAAAAGCAATTCAAGAGGCCAAAGTCAAACTTGACCAACTTCGTGTCAAGATGGAAGAAGCCACTCGAACAGGCGACGACAGCAAGGCAGCTGACTTACAATACTACGCTATTCCTGAACAAGAGCAATTCATCAAGACCTTGGAGAGGGAAAAGAAGGCTGCTGATGCTGCTCTAAGCTCTACCAGCAACCCGGATTCTGGCGGATCCCTGATCACAGATGTGGTTGGTCCTGAACAAATCAACGAAATCGTGGCTCGTGCTACTGGTATTCCAGTCACTCGACTAAAGGCCACCGAGAAAGACAAGCTTTTGCAAATGGAAAAGGTTCTTGGAAAGGTTGTTGTTGGTCAAAAAGATGCTGTTAAAGCTGTTTCAAACGCCATCAGACTGCAACGATCGGGACTCAGCAACCCTAATCAACCACCAAGTTTCCTCTTCTGTGGTCCTTCCGGAACTGGTAAGACTCTTCTGACCAAGGCTCTTGCTGAATTCCTTTTCGATGATCCAAAATCTATGATTCGACTCGATATGTCCGAATACCAAGAACGTCACTCTCTTAGTCGAATGATCGGTGCACCACCAGGATATGTAGGCCACGATTCGGGTGGACAGCTCACGGAAGCCCTTCGCCGAAAGCCATTCTCGATCTTACTCTTCGACGAGGTTGAGAAAGCAGCAAAGGAAGTCTTGACCGTTCTCCTCCAACTCATGGATGACGGTCGGATCACTGACGGACAAGGACGTGTCGTCGATGCACGAAACTGTATCGTCGTCATGACATCAAACATCGGAGCTGAATTCCTTCAACATAACACCTCAGCAAGCAGAATCGACGACACTACCAAGAAGATGGTCGAGAAGGCTATGCAAGATTATTTCCTTCCGGAATTTCTCAACCGTATCTCCTCCACCGTCATCTTCAATCGACTTTCTCGCACCGAAATCCGCAAGATTGTCGATATCCGTCTTGTTGAAATTCAAAGGCGTCTTGAGGCTAATGGCAAGAACGTTACGATCGATTGCTCCTCTGCAGTCAGAGATTTCCTTGGTGCTGCGGGGTACAATCCTCAATATGGTGCCAGACCACTCGCACGTTTGATTGAAAAGGAGATCTTGAACCGTCTTGCAGTGCTAATTCTTCGAGGTAGTATCCGTGACGGGGAGACTGCTAGAGTGGTGATGGAGGGGAACCGAGTGGTGATTCTACCTAACCACCAGGAGAGTGAGGAGAGTAGTAGTGAGGATGAGATGGATGTTGATGATGTTCTGGATCCGGAGACAGAAGATATCAGTCTGTATGACTGAGGGAAGAATAGGGATGACTTGGATGAATGATGGAATGATGCAACGGAGGATGAAAAAAATCTTGACATGGGAACGTTTCTTTTTTTCTAATGAATAATGAGATATGATGGTGTATTTAGCGATCATGGGAGATGGATTTCCTTCTTCCCTTTGTTTTTTTCTTCTTTTTTTCCCAGCCAATATGGGATAGGGTGGGGGGCATGGAGATAGATACCTTGCTAATAGTTAGTTTGCGAACTTTGAGGGGGTTGATAGATAGGAAAAAAGAAATTAGAAAATTTAATTACATACAGTATTCTGTATATCTCTTTTGTGAATTCTATGTTCTTTGGATTACCTCTATCGTCTGGGAGGGAGGTATTAAGTATAAATACTACGGATTTAGTAACCTGATATTATTATGTTATTTGGAATAGGTATACTATATAACATGGAAGTAAGGTAATATCCGTGTTTATTATATCTGTTCCAAGTTGTACCTCGCTTACACTCAGGAAGTGGTAGCGTTTATATCTATCACTTCATATATATAAGTATATATTTGCATACCAATTATAAAACCCCTTCTCCAAAGACGTCATGTCATATACGTTATCCTTGAAGTAAAACGACATATTAATCCAACCAATTTGCATTCGACTACACTACCAACTATACACCCAATAAACTCCGGCCAAACAAACAAACACTTAACAAGCATTACACAATATAACCGCATTCGCCTGCCCAGCTGGTATATAACATGATACAGCGCCCTTTGACAATGTCAGTATATGGGCTACGCAACTCCTGTACTGGATACTTGGTATGAGGAAAAAGTCCCTTACTGGAGTCCCTGCACAAGCGTTTCTGAATTTGGTATTGCACTCGGCAGGGGAGGGGCATTTGGGGGTTTTGAGTTCGAGTATTAGTGCGGTGGTGCTGGTGGCTAGGAGGGATGCGAGGAGGAGGATGTTACTGGAGAATTTCATTTTGGGATGTGGGTTTGCTCTTTGTTTGGAGTTTGGATTTGAATACTGTACCGCTGATGGGTACTGGTAGTTGTAGTGACTTGGAAGGAAGAGGGATGGATAGCGATATAAGTCCTGTACTTATACTTTCCCTCCCGCTGCTGACATGGTATACCGACCTATACGGCGGAATTATCGTTATCGATGTCATACTATAAGTATCGGAGGGGTGTATCGTACTCGGTTGGTCTAGTTCGGTTTCACCATCTGATCTACTGAAAGTCTGTCTATCGGTGATTCGTAACCTCCGAAAAGACCTTTCTTTGATCTGAAATATCCATACCTATAAGCCTAGGAAAGCCTACAGTATTAATGCCTTGCAAAGATGGTTATGTCATTCGATTGTCTTCGCCGTGTTAGTTACTTGAGCGTCTTGTCTTCTATTATCCTTGGATAGATGGAGTTATGGCCTGGTTGGGTTATAATGTAGCATTATATACAGGGGTAATTGTTGTAAGTAGATTTTGAAGTCTTTTGTATGTTTGGTGGAAAGGAGAGACCACTCCGAATATAAGTAAAGGGTGTGTTTGGCTCGGAGTGTACACTTCGAGTCTACTATACAAATTAGAGTTTTATACTCGATACGAGTAACTTCACTCGTATCGAGCTCTAAACCTATTTGGCTCGTACGTGAAATATAAAGCATTTACTACTCTAAATATAGTATTCTAGCTCTTTCCTAAGTATACTATCCCCTTAACACTTAATATGTATATCTGGCGTTCTAGGTTTGGAGTTTCTTCATTAAGCGATCATTTCCGAAAATAAGCCTTTATTTAAGCATACTACTAGTATCAAAAAGGCAGTTTAAGGCTGATTTGAGAAACGTCTGAAAATAACAGAGTAATAGGTAACTAATCCAAGTCCCCGCTATCGCTTAAATCTATTACTTGATTAATATTATTAGACTACATATTATCCTCCGGGATCTAATTATAGAAGTTATTTTTAACCTTGATTTATATTTAATCGTTAGTCGGTACACGTTATATTAAATAAGGCTTATTATTAGTTTTCTTTTATATTACTAGCTAGCTTTAAGTACTTATAATTCGCCAATATATATAAGTACAAAACGAAGTATAAGTACCCTCGGTTATATCAAGTAGCGCGAAAGGAAGCAGCTATAAAATAAAACAAGGGGAAAAGGAGAGGTGAGAAAACTTAGAATAAGACAAAAAAAGGGAGGCAAGGAAGGACTATCCTTATTAAACTCTCCTAGCAAGTAGGTATATCTACCGCTAAATAATCCAATACCTGATATCTAAACTCCCCTACCTTGTAATTATCTACCCCTCTTATATTTGTGTAATAAACATGGGAAAACCTATTTTCAGGCCAAAACCACACCTAGAGAGCCCTCCTTGCCTGGCGAGTATATCTGCGACCTATATCTGAGCATAGCTCACAAAAGTGTAACTGACGATATGGTGGATATTGTGGTGGTGTTGAAGGCATGTGGCAGTAGTGGGGTGGGATATATATCCCACCATGGCTTACTAAGCCTTCATCCTCATTCACTATAAATCCTGCTATTTATTCTTAATAAACGTATAGAAACCTAATCTTAGTATAAGAGTGTATTATAAATAAGTAGTTTACAGTCCTTCGGGACCAGGTAGCACAGTGGATACAATTAATCACTCTACCTGAATTACTTTTCGATAGATGGCTCTGACAAATGTTAGCATATTATGAAAGGTTGTGAAGATTTTGTTTGAGTTGATAAAGTTTAATGACTATTGTTACTACATGTGCATTGCAAACCATTGGATGACTGAAGTATGGCCCAAGTATACCACGCGCATGAGTTTTACAAGTTGTCTGAAATTCTTATTAGCCGTCTGCTAGTAATCTAGAATTCTTGAATATGATGTTCTATATCCATCTAAAATATCCCTATAATTTCCCATCCATAAGATATATACAATATGTACGTACACCTTCGAAGACTGAGTTTCACACTCCCACTACAATTGTAGAGATTCCAGCGACACGCTTGAAAGCGAAGGATTTGACGCCCCTTGGAAGTTTCAAAAGAAGCTTTCGGACTGTTCTAGCATCTCTGGCTATCCTCCCATTCGATCTTCTTGACAGTTTGATCAATATCAGTAGGTCGCACAATTACATTTTTCATGGGGATAGCACCGCCCTTGGAAGAGAAAATCCTAGTTGGCCCATTGTAGAATTCAGTGGACGCGTTATCCATTTCTTTGTAGCTGTGGTTATGCCCATGGCCCAACTTGGATGTTGATCGGCGTTGCCCCTCGCTATCCTGACGTCCCTCCGTAGCTGGGGGGGATCTTCTGGAAAATAATCCTAATCTGAGACTGGAATACAAACTGGATTTAACAAAGATTTTAAGCCAGAATTAGGAAATTGACGGGGCACAACTGATTATTACAGTTCCAAAGACTTCTGCGAAGCTAGCTACGAGTCAGCTTTACTATCGATCGGTTCCATACAGTTGACTGACGTCGTGATAGAGACATTGAGTCCGTTCCAAACCGGATCGTTACCAAGGTAAACTGTCACCCTGTAGGCAAGTGATGCCGTACTTGTAATAACCATCCTGTGATTGTCAGTTTATCCCTTCAAGGTACTGAAATTGTTTATACTCACAAAAGACCGGTGGAAAGTACAATTGACAACCCAAATCTCTTTTGTTTAGTGAGGTGTAACCTCAGAACGATTGGAAAGGGGAGAAAAAAGAGGAATAGATCTGCAATCACACCAAAAACACCATTGACTATTGCTGAGGATACAGGACTTGAACATCTAGCGAACGCGGTTCCATCCCAAGGGGCCCCATTTCTGGGGAGGCAGTATACTGCTGCTATAATGACATTGGATCCGTAGAAAAGAAACATGAAAATGATCATTCCGTATGAAGAAAGAGTGATCCATCTTTTGGTACCAAAAAGGCGGATGTAAAGAGCTGCAATTGCAGCTTTTGCGGCCCATAAGGCTGGGCCAGCAACCATCTGCTGAGCCAATTGTCTCTTTCACCGTGTCAGAACGAAACTTGAAGGCTTTTCCGGATCTTTGTTCGTACCTTGATAAAAGACTTGGTAACATTTGCGGGTATATCCCAAGTGTGCCTAGCGACTCCCTCTCGCGCCACTATTTATATTTATTTATTAGAAAGGAGAGCAAGTGACGGGTTCAAAAATGGGAGCCAAACTTACGGCTGTGGATAATTGCCCAATATCCGATGCCTCCCAACTCCCCGAAGACGCAAAGATCTATTGTGTATCAGTGAGTCCGGAGCAACAATGAATATGGTAGTGTGAAAATCCAAGTAAAGTTCCCACTCACAGTCATCTAATCCGAGCTTTCCAACCAGTTTTAGATTGGTAAATAACCGTAGGGCTAGAAACGAAAAGCTAATAACCATCAGAGATATTCCTACACCGAGGACAGCGGGTTCGAGAGAAGGAGGATTGTTGAAGTTAGGAGGATCGCCATTCGGATTGAGAGCTAAAGGAATCTTGGATAGATCCGTGCTTGAAGGAATTGAACTCATTGCCACTAAAAGTATTAACTTATAATAAAAGCGAAGAGGTAATTGGCGGATGGAAGTTATGATGCAACTCAAAAGATGTTATGGCATCCACATGAATTTCGGAGATGTGGCAGGCAAAGGGTATCTGAAAGCTAGACAGACGAAAGTTATATGATTCTTCAATAAAAAGTGGTACAATTAGAATCCAACAGCGTACGTAACAGGCGCTTGCCGGACGAATGTATACCGTGCATTATCCTGGCACGTGGAGATTCTGAGCTGTAATTTCAGTTGGTTCTGCAGTAGGAGTTGGTTCTGCATTTGGAATTGTTTAGGTAGTTGTTAGTTGGGCTTGGTATGCAGTTGCCAGTTGGAATCAATTCTGCAGTTGCCAGTTGGAATTAATTCGGCAATTGGCTGTTGGGAGCGGTTCTGCAGTTGGAATGTTGGAATCGGGACTGCGCCTCAATGCAACATCAATACAAAGAGGGTCCACATCCAAAGTCTAATCTGAACCCCAAAGAAAATGGCTATTTAGGCAGAGCTAAGATTACTTCTACAATCTCTATTGATTACGATAAAGCTATTTTATTAGTTGGCAGGGAAATTATGCATCGTCTTGTAAAGTATTTCGAGTTTGAACGGTGGAATGTCCTACAACCTTCACGTCAGTGCGTACCCAGTCACTGTAGGCAAACCAACACTTTGGAAGTTAGAGAAGTTATCACTAGGCTAAATATAATTGACGCCATTGAGGCAATCTTGAATCACGGTTGCCATGGTCCCTGTGTCCTGATTTCTTAGCTAAGTAACTCAATGATTTGCTATATAGAGTCAGCCGAGCAACCCCTACTAGGCACATTTTCAAGAAATTTGCACTAGAGATATGCTTTCAATGCAGCCAAATAAGGTTACGGAGGGAATACTCGTCTTCCTTAGTCTTATTCTGTTTCTTTTATTCTTTTACTATTCCCTAAATAAGCTCATGCAAGTAAGTTGAATCGCCCATTCCAAAATTAGAGACGGTACTAAATATTCTTCGTCAAGCCCCGAAAACCGTCTTTTCTCATTCGTACAAAATCTATTATCGTGAACCGTGCCTACGCCTGGCTCTTTCTTATCAGAGGACCCAGCATCATCCAAGAAGGATACGACAAGGTGATATTACCTGGAACTTCAGCTTCACAGAAACAACAACAAAAGCTCAATCGTTATACAGGCTAATGGAAACCCCTTTGAAGTTTTCGTACCCGAGAACCGATATCTTTTCGTGTCCTCTGCGAAGCATATTAAGGAGGTCGATGCCGCCACAGACGATGTATTGTCTCTACAGGCCGCTGCAAAGCAGGTATGCACATTTATTTCTGGTCTCGCAAAAACACAAAGCTGAGGAAAACTTTCTAATATTGTCAGTTGCTTCAACCAAAATACACAATGCACAATTTCAATTGGTTTAACAAAAGGGGCGTAGAAGGAACGCCGCTTGTTAGAACCCTTCGAACCTTCTTGACGAATAACATTCCGGATATCTTGCCAGAAATTCGTCTCGCTATATCAAAGTTGTTCGATGATCTTTATGATACACAGCCAGTTGTTGATGGTAAGTAAGATTGAACTCCCTTGGGAAATCTTTAAGCAGTTCTCATTACTACAGGCGTCAAGCACTCTCTACTTTACAAAATGGTAAAGGAAGCCGTGGCATACTCCAATGCCTTGTCATTTTTTGGCAAAGAGCTTGGTATTTATCCCCCCAGTCTTGGTCTGAGACAAGCAAGACTGACCATTAATCACAGCACACAATAGAGAGTTTATAGAAGCCGCTGTAAATTTCATTGAGAGCACAATCTTAATCTCTGAAATAATTCGTTTGTTGCCTCATTGGATAGCCCCGTAAATAATTTTGCCCATTCTCCCTTCATTACTGATTCTGCTCATCTAGGACAATTGGGAAATATTTGGCTAAGAAGTGGAATTCTCATGAAGCTATTCACAACACATTAGTATCTGTGACTGAGCAGAGACTCGAAGAGAGGGAGAGAGCAAGAAGGGGAATTGCAATTGAGAAACATGTAAGTGGAAGTTTCGACAGCAAGCAAAAGGCAAGAAGTACTCCAGTGGACGGTCGCTTACGGAGTAACAGAAGGACTGTATTCAGTGGGTGATTGAAACTTCCCCCAAAGAAAAGCCTTGGTCTGCGGAACGTATCGTCCACAAGCTTATGGCATTATGGTTTGGCTCTGTACATATTCTTACCGCGGTAAGTTTCTGATTCCTTGCGTAGTACTCATATTGAAAACAGCTGATGCTAGATGAATGGTAGACTATATGCTTCACGATACATGACCTCTGTCTCCAACCAGAATACATCTTTTCTATTCGGGCTGAATTGGAAAGCTCCCAAGGGTCGTGCTTCGAAAAAACTGGAAAAGGCCTCCTACTTCTTAATAGTTTTATTAAAGAATCTGCGAGAACCACTCCAGTAGAATCAAGTAAGTTGCCAGAATACACTATTTGGTAACAACGAGATCCTTTACGAAAACTGATTCTCACAGCTCTAGTGAGTACTCGACGACAAGCATTGCAACCCTTCATCCTTTCGGGCGGGTTTAGAGTTGAAACAGGAGAGTGGGTATGCACTCCGGCCAGAGCCATGATGAGAGATCCTGCAAATTTTCCACAGCCATTGGAGTTTCAAGGCTTTCGATTTGTTGAAGAGAAACATCTCAAAAATATCAGCAGCAGTATTTTGCTGGCTCCAGATTGTGGTGAGGTCTCTGCACTCACCGACGTAGCCAACTGGCAATTTTGGGGTACAGGACGGATGTCATGGTAGTTATCTCTTAATTCCCGGTATGGATATGTAGCTGACATAAACGAATAAGCCCAGGACGGCATTACGCAGCCGCCAGTATGAAGACGATAATCGGCTTGTTCCTTACCAAGTACGATTTTCAACTGTCTGAACCTGAGAGACCACGTTGGTTCATTTGACGTTCATTCATTTATCCAAAGCCAAGCACGACCATCATTCTCAAATTGCGCTCCAAAGACCAGGAGGCACAAAGTGGATAAGTGGATTTCAGCTCTTAAATTGTTTGTAATATTTGCCCGGTTTAGTTCAAAACCCAACATACTCGCTCAACTCCATAAATATCAAGTGACTTCTTCCAGTATATCACATCGTGCGTGAGGAGTGAGTGTATTTAAACTAGAAAATGAGAAACGATAGGTAGTAAACAGTTGAATGTACAAATTTCTACATCAAATTCTAATGTTGTTGTCCCAGTCATGGTCACATGTCAATATGTCTCGCCTACGACTCTGTATATCCATAGACGTAAATGGGATATGACCAAGGTATCTAGGCGCCACTTCGGGGTGGCAAGAAATACAATGAATTTCATGCGGTGTAATCAATTTCTATAAGCGAGCATGTTGACAAGCTTTACGGGGACTTGCATATGGAATTTTGTAGTGGGTTTTGGCTCATCTCATTACAGTATTGACCTAATCGTCCACCACGTCTGTATGCCAAGGTAGGCCCGCCATTTGCGCCACCTCACCCAGAGTTTCGTTCCACCCACAGCCCTTCTTCCATCCACCAGTCTTCCCATGCTCATTCATCACCAACAAATACCTACGCCCCCTCTGTCAAACCAAACCAACCGCATCCTGCAATGAGTAGCCCAGAAGCAAGGCGAAACATTGCCTTTTTCGGCACACCTTCAAGCCAACACACATAACCATCGACCAAACCAACGTAGCCCAGAAGCAGCATAATGGTATCAACGGCCGCCAATTTCTCCTGGAAGTAGAAGACGAACAAAGTTAACCCGAGTGTTGAGATACGTGCCGAGCTCAGGATCATCACAGACTGAGCAGGTTTTGAGCTGGCGATACGTTGCGGTAGGCCAAATTCCAAAATGGCGTGTTCAGCGTTGAAAAATGGCATGAGGCCCCCAAAAGTAGTGGCGGTGGCTACAAAGAGAGCCGGTATGTGGCCCAGAGCGAATTGGGAGGACATTGTCTTGCTGGTATGAGTTGATTTATGTAGAGATTGGATGTTTTGGTGGTTTGGTGGTTTGGTAAAGAGATTCTAAATAGTTGGTTAAGTTTTGATAAGAACAATCATGGCTTGAAAAGAAATTCTGACTGGCAAGTAGAGCCTCACAACTCCACTGTGCCATATATGCATGTTGGAGGCATGCGGTTGGAAATAGGCGCCCATTGCCCATTCCCCGTCCTGCATAGGGAACACAGCATCCCTGTAAATGCAGCCCTGCGCTGTAACCATGATGTTGACCCATATATGCACAATTGTAGCTGCGTGTACGAAAGGGGAAGCACCCCCCATTATTGCACAATTTAGGCTGATCCTCGCTTCTTCGCGGCAGTTTTTTTGCCGTTACCGACGCCATAACCACATTGCACTAGGGCGTGTATTACTGGGGGATTGGGTTCCCTTGGGCTGAATGCTTCAGACTGTTGATTTTGATTTCCTTATCCCCTAAGAGAAGTGCCTTCGATTGTAATTGTTAGGGATGGGCGAAAAGTTCATAACCATATAACTATATGAACTGAACTTTCAGGACTAATAGAATTCGTGAATTATATGAACAAAATCCTAAAAATAGTTAGAAATTCATGAACATTCCTGTATATAGACATGTAACTTTGGATCGGGATATATAACTAATTCTAACACCCACTTAATTAACGCAAGATGTTTTTATTATCTCCCTAAATATCGTTTTCTATATACCTAGTCTGTCTATATAAGCTAAGAGGGTACTAGAAAAGGGGGAGTTGAAAAGTGTAGAATATAATATAATAATAGTTTAGGTAGGTTATTTTCTATCATTTCCTAAATAGATTGATAACGTTTTGAATAAGTTAAGAATATACTACTCTAGGTATTGAAAACCCCTGATTCTATACCAAGATCTACAAATGTTAAATTTCATACCAATGAAAACCAGAGATTCACTTCGCATGGAAACAAATACACAAAGTTCTCAGAGTCATATCATTTGAGTCAGAGCATAAAAAGCACAACAATATAAGAAACAATACAAGACATATACAACAATATCCCCACATCCACGCCATACTAAATACACCCAGCACCTCAACCCACAAAAGTAGAATCCCCTGCAAAGAACAGACTAAGCTAACATAGAATCCAGACTCTCCCCCAAAACCCCCTCAATCATCACGATCCACCGATGCGTCTCCTTCTCCACCGCCTCATCATCATCCTCCTGCAACTCACTGATGAACGGCAACATCTCAGGTAACATAGCCAACCACTCCTCGCCCACGCGCTGCGTCAGGCCTTGTTGACACTTCACGGCTGCGAGTCGGACACTGGAAGATTCGGAGCGCATGTGCTTCAATATCGCGCCGTTGAGTTCTTTATGGTGACCTGAAGCTTCTGCTGCAGCGGCCAGCTCGACAATTGCGGGGATAAGTTCATCGGCTAGGGGGAGTGATGAGCTGTGTGTGAATTGTGCGCATAAGACGGGGGCGATGGCGCTGAAATGTGCTGGGGATTGCCAGAAATCGTCTTGATCGTGTTCAAAACACTTGGCTAGTGTTCGGAGGACTTTAGCCCATAGTTCTTTCGATTCATCATCTTTCGGGTTGACGGTTTCCAGAACACTGACTGCGTTTTCGAGGATGTAGGTTGCGTAGCTCGTCACTATCGATTTCAGATTATCGAAGAATACGGCGAGGAAGCGATAGAGGCTTTGAAGACGCATTGTTCTGCCTAATTTGTCTTTCTTCGGCAGGGAAGAAGAGGCCCATTCTACCAAATTGGCGAAAATTGGTCGGAATGTTGCGTCGTTGAACTTGTAGATCATCTTAATCGCTACGGCATCAAGAGCCGCTTCGATGTCTATCAAGCTCTCCATATCAACCTCATCACCCTGACCGAGAGCCGTTCTTCGCAAGTCAAATGCATTCTGGAAGATTTTGGATAAAATGGATGAGTGTTTGGTCACAACACTCTTAGGATGTTTGCCGATAGAAATGTCGAGAACCTCGACAAATTCGCGAAGGGCCTGAAAAGAATTAGTAGATGTTTCGTTAAAGTGATCGAACTTTGAACTTACATCCATCCCACTTTCTTTTGCCTGCTCCCAATTCTTTTCAAGAGCTGAGAACATACCCTTGGCATCGACTTGTTTTGCGACGAGGTGTAAACATTCTGTTCTGCTCTCGTCGGCCTCGGTATCAAGAACAGCTTCAGCAGATATGTTGGATATTTGCAAAAGCTTGTCGAGGTAATTCCCAGATATCATATATGGCAGATGTTGAACTAAAGCGCTGATGAATGCATATCCGGCATTATGACACTTTTGTCCATCCGGATTGTCACCGATGCTTTCTTCCACGTACTCTAGTGTTTTAGGAATTGCAGCTGGAAGAACGGAGACTATACCCTCCCGTAATATCTCGACCAAAGAAGCGAGACAGAGAAGAGCCATGACTCTAAGGCGATTATCTGATTGGCCAAGACAGTGGGCACTAGCAATTGTCTCGGCAGCCGCAGCAACGGCCTCCAAATCTTTCTTACCATACTTCTCCGATATCTTATCCACGCAGGCGACAGCAGTATGTTTGTAGAGAATATCCTTGGACTCCCTAATGATGGCTGTGAGCTGAGGAAGGAATCCGAGCATTGCATTTCTGGAGGCCTCATCGGAATGTTTCTCTTGATCGACACGGACTTCCACAGATCGCAAAATCTTTCGTCGCAAGGCTTCATCAGGTTTGTCAAGTAGACTTTCCACAGACTTGATGAACTCGCTGGTGGACAACAATCCTAATAGGCTTTCCAGAATGTCACCACAGGAGCCGTGCAATTCGTGATCATCCTTGACAATGTCGGCCAGTCCTAACAGGTTCTCAAGTAGAGCAGAGTACAACTCCCGAATTCGCGCCGATTCCATATCATCTCGCTCAAGAAGTTTTCCGGCTTGGCTGATCAGACGTTTCTGGGAAAGAATGTTGGGCAGCAACCCTAACTCGGCAAGTGCAGTTTTGTGAGGAGTAGCCACCTTTTTATCGCTGGCGCTCAACAAGATTGCCGACCAGGTTGACTTGACCTTCAAGATATCTCTGACAAGATCCAAATATTTGGCAACGGACTGTAATTGCACCTCAACACTAAAAGAGCCAGCTACCTCCACCGCGAAGGCTTTGATGCTATCAGTTGCACTGTATTTGTCGACAAGCATTGCTAGGATTGCGAATAAGAAGTCATCGGGGCCTAGAGTGTGTACCAAAGAAGTGAACAAGCCTCTACGACGATGAGCAGGAACGTGTTCGTAGGCTGTGACGAAGCTGAGAAGGAGCTCTGCCGCCTCAACCACAACATTTGACTTTCCTTTTTGTAGTGAGGAGATAAGAGGTGGGATGACTTCACGGATTGTTTGACTTATGACATGGGCAGAATACTCATCATTTTGTGGCAGAACCGAATTGCGCATGAAAGTGAAGATTGGCATTACACTGTGGAGAACAACTTCTGGGGCTGTTTCTGCAAGTGAGGCGATAAGGAGCAGCGCTGCATTTTGAACTTGTGGACTGCTAGTCTTTTGGACACAATCCACAAGTAGATCCGCCCGTACAGCTGAACGGTCGAGTTTCATCTTGGGGTCTGATTTGTAGACTTTCAAGATAGCGAGAAGGCTGCCCAAAACGAGACTTTGAAGATATGCAAGCTCTGATGCAATCAAGGCTTTGAATTGTTGAATCTCAGCTAGAACATTGAATAAGCCATTGAGCAATTCGGGATGTATTTGTGGATTGGACCCGTCGATGAGCTGCAATACAAAAGTAACCTTCTTGATAGCGTCCGATAATAATTGTGGATCTTGAACAGGTGTTCTAGCTGCCTCACTGTGACTCGTCCGGCGCCGTTTGGACGGAGGAGGTGAATCATCCAATTTTGAGGTGGGTAATCCTTCAACAAATTTCAGAAGGATGTCCGTGGAAAGCGGCGTTGAGTTCAAAAACTCAGAGGAGAGCTGGGCTGAGACTTCATTGTTCTGTGTCGCTTCACTTGACGGAGGGATGGCGGAACTCATTAGCATTAATGCTGTGTTTACTTTGAGGTCTCCCTTCAACGAAGGCCACAGTGACCGTAGTCTTTCGAAAGCCGCCGTGAGAAGCTCTGGCCTATCGGATGCCACTTCTCCAACGATAATGCTGCGTATGAACTGCAGTCCCTCTTCATCCTTTGGCGCAACAGTTAAAAACGATTGATTACCGAAATCGATCTGGTTGATCTCCTCTTCTTGACAGCGTCTTGCCGCTTCAGATGGGCTGAGTGAGGACCAGTTTCGGAGGACTGGCAATAAAACTTTGGTCCTTGACAATGCTCCTACGCCACGTACCTGATTTAACGATATCATCAATCGCATTTTGACCAAATACAAAGGTGTTTGAATAACGTGTGTACCGAGGAACGTCAAAATCGATGATCGGGCGGATTGTGACAGTCGGCCGGAGTCGGATTTTTTGGATTTATCTTGACTTTGCAAAACTGTTTGTAATGCTGATTGGATGTGTCTCGCATCCAAAACGCACTCTTCCAACGAAGGCACGATCGTTTCCCGTATAAGACGGATAACCACGTCAGGTGAGAGCCATTTGAGATCAACATTATTCCCATTTTCCTGGTAAAGCTCACCAGAACCCCACTGCTTAAGCTGCTTCAACTCTTTCTTGGATTCCACGGACGACGGGTAGAGTTTATTCATGGCAATGATCAATTCTGACGCAGCGCGGCGTACTTTTGGCGCTGGATCGCAGAGAGCGGAAATAGCGTATGGGAGCATCGCTTGAACATCTACGCCAGACGATTTGTTGTCCAGAAGGAGTTTTGTTGTCATCTGAATTGCTGATGTTCGAGCTAAAACTGGGTAAGGACCACACCAGGTCTTGATATAAAATGTAAGATAGAGCATGTGTTCTAGAGCAGACTCTCTTCCAAGAATAGAAGCCGTATCAAAGGTCTGGAGATCAGAAGGATTGGTCGTCGAAACCAGAAAAGCGCGGCAAAGATCATGGTATACGTTTGATGCGTCATGAGCCAAAAATGATGATTCGACCGCAGTTCTTTTTGGGAGCTTTTCAAAAAGTGCGTTAAATTCGGCCCCAATAGCGACTATCTCTTCAGTATCTCCCATAACCACATCCTCAGATTTCGCGGGTAAAATGGCCTGTCGAATTGTCGTCTGTAATTTCATTTCCAGCTCATCGATGTCGACTTCTGTGTCCTTCAAAGCACCCCGTACAACATCACCAGCATGGCCTTCTAATTGTGCTAGATTTACCAATGTAGAGGCTAGGTGTGGGCGTAGGGCTGTCAGATCAGATGTGTCATCGACCTTGTGGGCAACCAAAACTAGAGCTTTTACCATCACATTTGATTGGTGGTCACTCAGGATCCGCTTCTCTATCATTTCACTGACAATCGGAAGTGCTCTGAGATCTCCATGCTTATTGAGTCGATCAATGAGAGCAAGACAGAACCCATTTGCGAGTTTGTCTACCCGCCGTTGTTTGCTGAGTTCAATGAGCATTGTTGGTAGGTTGTCCACTTTTAGTAACTCCTTGGTGAGCTTTCTATTCAACTGTTTTGCTGCTCGATGGTGGGCGAGAATAGCTAAACAGACAAAGCCAGGAGTGAGCGTATCGGCATTCCAACCTGAGACGACAGCCTCCATCATAGCCGTCAAGACCTTGTCATCGAGCCCTCCTTTGGATGCCATAACAGCGAGGATCATATAACAACCAGTACGGAGTTCAGGGATATTCTTGATGGCCAAGCCTTCGTTCAAGGTTGGCAATAATTTCAAAATGACATCCTGCTCGTTCTGTTGCTGGACGCCTCTCCTCCCAGAACGCGATTTATCCAACATGCCGCTGACGGACTCTGTTATTATCCCAGCCCAAAATGCCAGAAGAGTGAAATGATGTTGTCGAGCCTGACAAATTCGAAGAACATAGGAATTCAAAGTAGACAGGAATATGGAATTGTTGGTAGATGCTTGGACGATTGCATGTCTCGGTGGCGGGGTAAGTGACCGTATATATGGTAAAAGAAATTTGTACTCCTGGGGTATCGTTTTCGGGAGGATCGACATGAGTGTATTGAAGACCGGGAGGGTGTGGTATGGAAGGAAGGTAGTAAGGAGAAAGAGGGTATTATATTCGTGGATGCTGATACCGTTAGTGATATTCTTTTCTATACCTCTTGCGCGCAATTGCACGAGAGCCAGTATTTACCGAAATCGTCTCAGGAGCCATTCAACTGCCTTGATTGCCGGACTCAATCTCAATCTGCCACCAACCAGGCCCAAGAAAGCTTCCAGCTGTTTGTCGAGTTCTGCATTGTCTCCAGCCGTCATCTGCGTCCGATCTTCATCCTGGCTTTGTTCGCTGAAGATATTCCTCTGAAACTCTAGGAATCGATTATCGAGCAGACATAATTCCTGGAAGCCCTCATGGCACAGGGTGTATAAGGTGTCGAAGCTTTGCGATGCGGCAACTCGAGGTTCGAATATCAAGGACTTTGAATGCGCAGCTTTTTGCGCCTTGAGATTTAGGGATTGGGTTGAGTATTCGGCAATTTTAGACAGCTGAGCGGCCAAAGAGGTCGCCATGATGTACTTTGGAGGAGCGAGAGCTGTTTCTCTGGTCAAACTGATGTTGACATCTCAAGTCGGTTTTTTGGTTGGAAATGTCCAGTCTCGCGCTCCAATTGAAATCTTATCGCACCTGAAGCTTCAACTTTTTTTTCCGCCGTCTTGATGGTCCGTGCTTCGACCGCTCACCAATGACAAGATAGAAGTTGACAGAGGACGCCCCGCCTTACAAGCCGAATATCTACCGCCATCTATTCATCCAATCTGCGTCCCTTCACTATCTGTAAGTAACAACTGACATCAACGTCATTCATACTCATTCTTGTTGATCCAAAGCGATAGTGATAGTATATTGGTCACTGGTAAACACAATATGACATGAAGTAAGAGCAGTCAGTGTTCCTCAGACAATGTCAGAACCTAATGTCCCTAAGTTTGGCTCCTTCCGTCCTAAAGCCCAAACATCCCAGCAAACACCAAAGAACTCTGAAAGAGAATCAAAACATCACTCAAAATCCGATGAGAGGAAAGAGAGATGGGTTCAAGAAGATGAGAAGCACCGTCACCGTCATCGCCGCCACCAGAGGTCAAGGAGCAGAGAAAGACATGGCAAAACAACGGAGGTCAAGGCAGCAGCTCCGCCTCTCAAGGTCCCATACGACAACTCTCCTGAAATATTCGTCATAGATAGAAAAGGGGACGAGAAAAACTTGGCCTACAATAGTGTCCATCGTTATAGTGTTCCGCCCTTCCATCGTATTGGTGCTGGCAACGTGTTGGGTGCCCCAAGTAATATCATAATCGACAGATATGCTTCAGATGACAAAGTCATCGTACTCCGAGATGGGAGGAATTCCAACGCAAGCCGAAGAGAGAGATATGCTTTCTCAAAGATAGACAGAGAGAAGCCTCGACTTTTACGAATACGTCCCGAGGCAACTGTGAAAGACCAGGACGATCCCAGTGCCAATTACGTTCCCTTGGAAAACACAAGATCACGAAAGCGAAGGAAGATTGGTGCTGAAGATGACGGAAGTTCTGCTTCGGACGATGATGAAACTCACTATCGCTCCATACACGGAAAAAAGAGGGCCACCGAGCCAGAGGATGGCGCGCTGCAATATGCCACGGAAAGTGACGATTCGTCGTATGAAGATGGCATTCCGGTCTCCAATCTAGCTGTGCGGCAAAAGAATATTGAACTGAGTCGACGTGTTGAAGAATTTCCTCATGAAATCGAATCGTGGCTTGCTCTGATTGAATTGCAAGACACACTGTTACGGGACGAAGATGATCGCCATCGTGCTACGAATGCTGAGATTCGAAGTACTGCTGAGATCAAGATTCACATGTACGAGAAAGCTCTTGATAGAGCAAAAACACTTCAAGATCGCGAGAAGCTGCTTCTAGGCCTGATGACTGAGGGTGCCAAGATATGGGACAGCAATTTGCAAACAGTCCGTTGGGAGCAGATCTCAAAAGACAATATTGATAGCTTGATGCTCTGGAAAAGCTACTTGAACTTCAAACAAACATCTTTCACGACTCTCCGGTATGAGGAAATACGAGATATGTTCCTCAACCGCATTGAGTTACTTTCAAAAGAGGCACCCAAGGCTGCGTATCTAGGTGCAGATGCCATTTATCAGCAGCTCATTTACGTCCTGCTCCGAGCCACTTTCTTCATTCGCGAATCTGGTTACCAAGAATTAGGCATCGCGATATGGCAGGGAGTACTAGAGATTAATTTCCAAGGCTCCGAACAGAACTCATCTGTATCTGTAAGCCCAGGCAGTCTAAACGATTTTTGGGAGAGCGAAGTTCCTCGCATAGGCGAGGATGGCTCTTTGGGTTGGCGGCATTTCCTGGAAACCCAAGATAGCTCAGAAGCACCACCGAGTCTTACAGATGAGCCCGAAAATTCTTCAATACAGGACAAGCATCAGATTTTCGGGTGTTGGGCCGCCGCTGAGAGATTTAGATCACTCTCAACTCCTGCTCGCACCATGGACGAGGTAGTGGAAAATGATCCTTACCGTGTTATCCTGTTTTCGGACATTGAGAAATTTCTTATTGTACTTCCATCCGAGGCAGAATCTCTACACAAGGCTTTACTTGATGCCTTCCTTTTGTTCTGCCGCTTATCGCCTATGAGTGCTTTGGGTAGGGAGGCTCCTTACAAATGGTGCAACGACGCATTTGTACAGGGAGAGGTTTTGGAGTCAAAGCCGGACTACATGAAGAAGCAATACTTCCCACCCAAGGAGACGAATGAAGATGTCACCATCAACAATGTTAGTATGTTAATTACATCGCCGTCTGATTTTCAAGTCTCTTCAGACACCATGTTCTCTTCAAAACTTTGGTTTGAGGGTATTCCAGCTTGGAGTGAAAGGTACAGCGAACAACACCGACCACTGCCTTATCTTTGGGTTCGCAACACCCTCAAGCAACTGACTCAAGCATACTTTCGAGAATACCTGGCTGAGTATTACCTTGCTTTTGAGTGGCGAAATGAACCAGATACAGTCAAAAAGGTTGCCAAAAGCCTTCTCAAAAAGCACCCAGCAAGCTTGAGGCTGTACAATGCATATGGTATGATCGAACATGCAAGAGGAAATGAAGAAATTTCGGATGCGGTATTCTCTGCAGCCTTAAATATGAATGGCTCCAGTCTCAATGATAACAACAACGCCAAAGAGGCCATTCTTGTCTGGAGAAATTACACCTGGTTCAAAATTGAGACATCTGAAAATCCCTTGGCACTTCAGCAGATATTTTCCATTCCGAATGGCGTTCTAGCCAAGAATGTCGAAAACTCCCCTGCTATTCTTCTCAAAACGAAACAGTATCTAATCTCGAATCGAGACCACCCCCTTTCTACCGGTGAACTTTGTACGGCCACAATATACGCCGAGCTGCTCGCACTTCTCGAATATCTTACTCGCAAGTCAGGCATAGAGACGCAATCCAATGCACAAGGAGACATTTCATGCGCTCTCAAAGTCTATACTACTTTCTCCAAATCCCTATCGGAAAGGAATCATTCGCAAACAATCTCTCACGAGCTTCTACTCCAATCTGCATCTCGACTTTTATACCACCACGCAAGCATAGGACCATTCCGTCCAGCACTTCTTCGCGAACATCTCACAACCTTCCTCACTCTCTTCCCAAGGAACACAATCTTCCTCTCTCTCTACACCTGGAACGAATCCCGTCTCCGAATCGACAATCGCGTCCGCAACATTCTCCAATCCACCATCCTAACACCGACAAACGACACAGTACCCACCCGCCTCTTCGCCATCCGCTACGAACTCAACCACGGCACAATCCACTCCGTACGCTCAGCATTCGAACGCGCTCTTTCCTCCCCGACATGCTCTTCCTCTCCTGCTCTGTGGAAACTATATATCCTCTTCTGTCTACATACTGCGGAATTCCGTCCCAAAGCTAGGGGCGTATGGTACCGTGCCTTGCGAGCTTGTCCGTGGGTCAAGGAACTGTATATTTTCGGCTTTGAAGAGATGGGTGAGTTGCTGGGTTTCGAGGAGATGAAAGGGACTTGGAGGGTTATGGGTGAGAAGGAGTTGAGGGTTCATGTTGATCTTGAGGATTTATTTGAGGAGTTTGAGGAGAGGGGGTTGGAGCAGCGGGAGGGGAAGAGGCTGGCGGTTAGATGGGTTTATTTTCGTTGATGGAGCAAGAGGGACTTGGATGAGAGTGGTGGTGTAATTGGGTTGCATTTGATATCTTCTCTTCGTAGGGTGGAATGTAATGAATTCTTTTCTGAATATCTCTCTACGCTTGAATCTTCAATCTTCAAACGACAGTCAAGACTCAACCTACCCTACTCTCACCCTATTTTACCTTATCCTACCCTATCAATGTCCATTCTTTGAATGCGTGCCTGCAAAATACAAAATCATCAAATTTTTCGACCGCAAATTCATAAAAGAGAAAAGATCTGGAATATCATGCTGTGATCTTACAGTATCTATAGGATATATATATTGGACATTAATCTACCATACAGACGACCATTTACTTGTGATGATTAAGATAATATGATATAAATTAATAAAATAGAAATAGGAATACATGCACGTACAGCCCTGGACTTTTATTTTGAATTCTGATAAGTTTCTTTTTTGTTTTTGTAAACGTAATGCGTAATCTGGATAGGTGGGTTAAAAGAGAGCTGCGCTGTATTAGATTCGTACTCTCTACCTGTATCTTCTTGTACAGCATCTTGATTTTGCGAGTGCTTTCGAAGGTTTACATCATCACCGCACCGCACCGCACATTTTCCAACATAGAAAATATCATCCCCCACCTGTCACCTCTCACTTCTTCCCTCGAATCCCTCGAATCATACCTCCCTCGAATCCCACAATCCCATTCCGTCGAAGCTTGCGAGTGAACATGTCATGTCATGTTCATGTCTGTGATGCACTGATGTTGTAAAGGATGGTGGTGTGGTGTAGTCGTACCCGGTTGTAGAGTAACAAGCGGCTCCCCAATCCGAAACAGTCTGATCCCCAACCAGGATCATCAAACAAACAACACCAAGAACCCTTGGCCCGCGTCGCCCCAGAAAGAGGGTCAGATGCGGAACCAGGAGGGTACCTTGTAGTAGATTAGGCAAATTCCACTCGTCCTTCGGGACTAGGTAGCTCAGTGGTCAAGAATAGACACTCTACCTACAATCTATTATCTGCCCCCACATGAACCCCTGCGTGATTTTCCGCCAATGGACTTGGCTATGCAAATTTCCCGGTTGGCTGTTGCCCCACTCTTTGGATAGAACATTGGATTGTAAAACATGAAATGGCAGAGAAGCGATACACTGGCAAATTTTGGGATAGGACCTGCATACGGGATGACATGTGAAGCATGTATGATCTACCGCTTCGATCGGATGGAAAGGATGGCTTGTGAGAGGCTATCCGCCAGTTAGCGAGCCCGGGGAGATTGACAATGGTTCCTGCGACGGGAAGGGGTTTCAATGTGAGTGTGGATTGATGGGAGATGAATGTGCCAGAGCCTTGGTTCGTGGAATCTTGGTGGGTTATTGATGGAGGATCGCGGGAGGTCGGAAAACAGGATGTGCATGCTCAGGTTGGTGAGAGCTTGTTTTGACCCTGAGTTCTCGGGAGGAGGATCCGGTGGGGGACGAACCACGAAGCGAGAGAGCACGTCGTATTTCAACCGTCGACCTGGACAGATTGAGACGAAGATCCCAATCGAAACCGTTATGCCTCTCTGTGCTCTGCCCCGGTCTTTCGATCACTTGTGATCCGAGGTGCCCCTGTCTAACCACCGTCCACTCCAGATAGCCGAGGAGAGTTGTTTATAAAAGAAGTTGTATTCCTCTTTCCATGCCTCTTCTTTCTTTTCTCTCCAGCAGCGCTCTCATTCTCTACATCAGTCTTCCAGGTTTCTAGTTTCCCGACTTCAAGAACATTCCTTCCTTCATTTATTCCCATTCATCCATTCATTTTTCACCGAGCTGTGCTCTGTTAAATAAATCACTTACCTTTACACATCTACACCTCTAATCACCCTCACACCCTCCCCCGATCAACCCTCAAAATGCACTTCTCCCTCACCGCATCCCTAACCCTCGCCCTCGTGGCCCTCACGGTCGCCACTCCCCTCCCCGCCCCCAAAACCTCCACCAAAACCAAATCCGCCAAAGCCTCCTCCGCAACCAAAGATGCCGCCGCCGACGCAGCAGGAGGAGCATCCGTCCTCACTGCAGGACAAACATACAACGACATCCAGATCTCCTCCGGCACCGCGGGCGACGCAGAGAGTCTCGCCAACGCCCTCTTCGCCAACATCGACCAGAGCAACCTCGCGGGTGTCAGTGCTGCGGATCTGAAGATCATCAAGGCGACGCATGATGTTGCTGAGGATGCGGAGGTGGATGGGTTTAATAAGGCGCTTGAGGGTGCGACTGGGGATGAGAAGGTGGCTATTCAGGTATGTTCTATCCCCCTTCCCCAATTCCCATCCTCCTTTTTTTTTACTTTAGGGATTTGAGAGGGATGTATACTGATTTTAAAACAGAACGGCAAAATAAAGAACAAAGTCCTCAAACTCACCGCTGAGGTTCTTGCGCTACAAGTTGAGAACGCGCAGGGCAATGAGAAGGGTGATGTTGCGGCGGAGCAGAAGAAGTTGGCTAATAACATTGCGCTTGATACCAAGGCTAAGGGTGGTGCTAGTACCGCTGTTCCTTTTGATGGGACGATTGGTTGAGCTCCAAGTTTATCTGAGGAAGCTTGTCTTTCGTGATGCTAAGTCGGAGAAGCGAATTGAGTTGGAGTGTTGGAAATGTGGATAGATGGAAAGAGATGGAAATTAATATGGTGGATGTATGGATGGACGGATATTTCGCTTTGGGGATTTTTATTGTTGTTGGTGATGGGATCTACTTATTTACTTGGATCAATTTTAACTGATTGTATGATGTTTTGATTTTCTAATACCTTTTCTTCTTTCTTCTTCGGTGACTTAGCAAAATTTCCTTTGATTTATTACAAACCATCTAAATGCCGCTTTTCTAATGTGACTTCAATGAAATCAAACTCTAACTTGCTATACCCTCCAAAACGCAAAGATAAAAGGAGTTTATTAGTATTACTTAGGAAAAGAGGTATTCCTACTTATAAGTAGGAGCAGCAAAGTTCTATTTCTTTATTTTTCTTTACAGATTACTCATTATCTTTAGTGTCTTCCGAAAGATATAAAGTTAAACAAATAAATACAAATTAAACCTATATCCCTTCTAGAGTATAATCTGACGAGTGCAATCGTGCACTCAAAGTGGATAATAGTGGATGCTAGTGGGTGTGATAACTGGGTCAAATTGAGGCTCAAGTGCTTAGAAGGTAGGTTTATATGATAAAGTACTTGCAAAGTGGACACCTTGACTCCACTTTGACTCCGCTTTTCCGTGCACGTTTTTCTCGTCAGTTTATACTCTGGAAGGGGTAAATGCTATAAATCACATTTTACTACCTAACCGTTCCAAGGATTTCTACCCTCTCTCTAGCTATTAGTTACCGAATCTATTTCGTCCTCGAGCTCGGTATCCTACACACTTATAAGTGGTGATCTTAAAGTCTCCCGCTCTCTTACTTATACCGTGCCTATATACATACCAGATGAAAGAGTAAGGTGTGGAAGAATCTCTTCTTTCTTGTTGTTATTATGTAGGATATGGGCTACTTGGCTACCTGCTTACGTCCTGGTTGAAGGGATACGGAGATGGGAGGTTTGGGAGTTTTAGGTTGGGTGTTATGTTTGTTGGTGTGGAGCTGGGTTGTATTGGTGATTGGAAGGGCACCCAATTCAGAGGGTGGGAATAACTTCAATTTGGTAGTGGTGATAACGTGTATTACCCCATGTTTTTTGTAGACACTGGAAACAGCTGTACATGTATACCAAGGTAACTTGGCTGGAGGGAGGGGGGCATGTCACTTCAAAGGGAGTTAACAATTTTCCAAGCCATATAGTAAAAGACAAGACGTTGACCAGAAAGATTATATTTTTAAACAAGAAGAAATCTACTACCACACAAGCTTCACAGGCTTAATATAGCACTGCTGCGGAACATGAGTCATCTTATCAATCGCCGCATAGCTGCTCAGCGTCTCAGGACATTTATACAACTCAAAAGTCCACACAATCTGCGTAAGCAGCAGCTTGATCTCAACATAGGCCATTCTGCGTCCGTAGCATCCTCGTTCTCCCAGACCAAAGGTAAGATGCGGTCCCGCCGCCGAGTTGAAAACCTTTTGTCCGGCAGCTTTGTCTTCTTCCATCCACCGCTCGGGATCAAAGTCCGCTATACCTTCGTGCTTCCAGGTGCCAACTTTGTCTTTGGCCTCGATGCCTGATTTTGTGCGTAGAGATTCGTCGATATTGAATGCGGGAGCGAAGATACTGGGCCCGTTGCCGAGGAGGAAAACCTCTGTGCCCTTGGGGATACGGTGTCCCAGGACCTCGGCGTCACATAGAGCTGTACGGACGTTGGCAGCTTCTGCTAAAGAACAACGTAGGATTTCTTCAATTACTGCATCTCGGTAGTGCACTTGTGACTCGTTGATCTCTTGGAATGTCGGTAAGCGCTTCTCGGCTGTGGCTTCATGGTGGTGTGCACGAAGCTCAGAGCGAAGTTTGGTTTGCACGTCAGGATTATCGGCTAGATTTTTCAGTGCCCAGGCAATCGCCGTTGCGGTGGTATCATGGGCTCCCATAATGAATCCAAGGATCTAGGGGATGCCGGTTAGCTTATGGTCCTTTGAATTGCAGCCAAGTGGGATCTTGGGCACTTACCTCGTCATACATTCCCCGTCCGTCAGCTTCTGGCTGCCGGTTTTCTTTTTGAGCCAAGAGAAATTCTCTCTGCACGAAGTCGTCAATCGCACAGGTAATGGTTTTCTCGTTGGGATCCTTGCTAGTAGCTCTTTTGACGGCCTTATTGATCTCATCTCCAATGACCTGATCTTTGTCTTTATACGCTTTCTTCATCGTGGACGTTTGCCTCAAGAACCAATGAGCGAGAACTGGCACTGGGGACTTGATGCTGGTCTCCACACTATCGGTGAGTGTAAGGATAGATTGCACAGCTGCTGGATACGGTGCTGATGGAAGGTCTACTGGGGAATCCAGGTCATTCTTCAGTTGAATTGACTTGATGGTTGAGTATAACTTCAGCTGGGCCTTGGTTGTGCTATTATCTATGTCGGCTCCAAAGACAATTGACCAGACCGCATCCATGGCTGTGCGATACAAATCGTCGGCTGCTACAAATGGGTGCCCTTTAGCAAGTCGTGCTTTCTGTTCCCATAGTTGTATGAGGTCGAGACCAGCTGCATAGATATGCGGTGCGGCAGTCTGGTGCAAAAAGCCCATGCCCATGACTCCTTGGAGCCATTTGCGGTGTTGTCTAAACTCGCTACCTGTCGACATGCAAAAATGACTCTTGGGAGAAATGGCACCAGAAACTTCGCCAAAAAACTTGGATCGGTCGAACTCCTTCGTTCGTCGCACCATAATATCCTGTGCTTCTCGGAAATCTGCGATAACCACCAAAGGCTTGCCAAATGGACGCGTGAAGAGCTGAATGATTGGCGAATCCAAATTGACATTCTGTTGCATCATCCAGGCAAACATTTCCTTGGTCTTGCTGGTCGCCTCAACTAACGCACCGACATCTCCAAAGATGGAATTCGCTGCCTTCTTGTTATATGGAATACCCGGGATTGGTTTTGGCAGAGCCCATCTGTAGAAGAGGATGAGAAGAACCATTCCGCTGCCAATAAACAGAGACAAAACTTGAGGCGTCAGCCCCAATGGCATTTCTATGCCCATCGTCAAGGATGTTGCGATTTTGCGATGCGATGTGGTGATTCTGTAGTAGCCAGCCACGTAGACTTGAAAAAAGAGTTCAGCAATTATTCAAGTTGAAGCTGGTGACACTATGAGGACAAAATGACAGGAAGCTATCAACTTAGAAGTGAGGAGGCATACTCTATAACGGAACCCCGTGCCTGTGCACCTCTTACACCCTGGGCGCAGGCACAAACCCGTATCTAGACTGATTATAATGTAGGGTTACCACCACCATGCCATCGTGACCTAGGAGGCTTTTGAAGCGACTCCGGCTGTCTTTCAGGGTGAGAATTCCAACGCAGACGATGAGGAAAGACGCTATGAATTGGCAGCTTGTGGGGCAGATAGTCAATCTGGACGTATCGCCAGGTGTGGATGATAATAAATTGTGCCCCATGAAGCCATTCCATTTCATGCTTGTCATACGAGGTGCAAAAGGTGCCAGGAAGGTGGGGAGGTGCCGGAGGTGTGAGGGGTGCTACAGGTGTGGGAGGTGGGTTTTAAAGGTAACGTGATCACAGTAAGCGAGCTGATGAACCAATTAAATGACTGAACATCTCTGATATGTCAAAACACGGAATAAATATACCTAAAAGGTAGCCTCAGCCGCTTGCGTCAGTAGCGGGAGAGAATAAGATGATTTACGTTCTCCTTCTAAACGGTAACAAAAGTGATATTAGTGGAGAATAAAGTCAGCTACCATTTATACCGTGGTAATTCGGTGTTTTCAAATATACTGGGTTGGCAGAGTGGACCTTGGGAGTAGCAGAAGTTATCAAGACTACTTCAAGGCCATTTATAGAAGAGCTTTCTACGGGTCTCTAGGTAGAAAATTCCGATAGCGGTGATCTTATGCGCATGAGGAGAGGGACTTCTGACCAGTAGGAGCCACCAATTCATACTGTGCCGCACTTCACCCCACTTCACTCTACCACCCTAGCATGTTTAATGACATCGATTTACCACAGTACTAAAGTTCAGATTATACCCCCCACCATAAAGACAAGGTACATTCATTGCCCAGACGATAATATGAAGGGGTCAAAAATTGCGGGTCTGGCAGGTCAATTACCCTTGCAGAATCTAAAATGCTGAAGTAGCAGAGTCCAATTGATATTCTTTCATCCTTCATCCCAATTTTGCTCAGTCTCATATACTCATGCTCGAGGCTTCCTATACCTTTCTCGCCATGATCAAACTCTCTGTCGCACAATTAGCCTTTGCTACGTTTGCTGGTGCCTTGACAGTATCGGTGCCGTCACCAAGGGACTTGTTCGACGACTCTTGTGCTCCCTTCCGTTTACCACCACAAGCCGTAAATGGGACATATCTAGATCAAAGCACCGTTGGACAGGCATGGATTGAACCACCGTTTGGATTTGGCTATGGTAAATGGGCGTTGGCATGGACCAGTATAGAGGAGTACTGGGGTTGGTCAAATATGCAGGTATGGCCTCTTCATTGCTTGATGAATTGATCAGAGGACGTAGGCGCTTCTCAGCTAACACATGGAACCAGAATGAGTGGTATCCCCTAAGCAGCACAGTGACCGGAGGGCACGTATCAGATCTGCACGCAATGGTCATCGCGGACGTGAACTCCTTCCAACTTGGCGACAATAACACGATCATCACCACACCAGGAACCGACACGCCGCTCCCCGGACAGAAGTACGCCTGGAACTACACCATCCCAGCCGAGATCATGGCTGAGACGGACAACACCACGTGGGTTGGCTGGGGATTCGATTTCTATGAGCAGGGCGCTCCGTACTTTGTGAGCTACGACGCCTCGACCGTCGGCATGAAGAACGTCTCGCATGGAGTGTCCATCTACAGTGCGCGAGAGAGAGGGCCTTCGGATAGAACGGTGGCGGAGATTGCGGATTGCTATGATAAATTGGGGAGTGTGGTATTTGCCGATCTGTTTAGGTCGATGCAGAGGACACCGACGGATGGCCGCCGCAGCAATGAATTGTCGTGGCGTGGACCATCGGCGGATGTGGAGAATCAAAAGAAGAGGAATGGCGCCGTTCGAGGAGTGTCCGCTGCAGTTGCAAGTATCAATTTGGAAAAGCATGTTCAGGTCCAGGACGGGGATATTGATAATCTGATGTGTTATTGTAAAGTATAGCCAAGATAGAGTTATTTGTAACTTATATCAAGTCAATTTATAGGGCCCCTTTGTAGTAATAATGTGAATGTGGTCCTTGGGGAAAGAAAAAAATGTCGGGTTTATATCTCTAATTCTTGGACTTACAACACAGATTCTTTACCATACAAAAACTAGAGAAATACTTTAAAAAAACGCTTGTAGATTCTGGGTTGAATTCTTTGTACTTCTACTGCAACCCAAGTCTTTTTTCATTGCGTTGTTATAAGTTGGCAATTACTGTAAAAGTTGTGAAAACAAGCATAATTTCAATTGAAGGAACGGATTAAAATGTTTTTCCTGCCCCGTAGAGAACATTGTATCATTTTTCAATCCAACACGCCATCTACAATCCCAAAAAACGCCCAGAACTTCCGTAATTATACATATAACCACCGTCCGATCTGAAGTCTAATTCTTTCAATATTGTACAACAGTCTAAAAACATTTTACTTTCCCTTCCATCTCTGCCCCTACTGTTGCTCGCAGGCCATTGGTGCTGAGCCGCCGTTTTGGATTGTGTTTCTCGCTTACATAGCTTGGTATCTTGCATAATAGAACAGTGTCTAGTTCCCAATATTCTTTACTTGCGTTTGTCGCCAATGAACTGAAAGCACACCAAAGCCGTAAGGGCGCAAACCGTCGCCAGCACTGCATTCATGTTCCCATACCCGATCGACTGTCGTAACTCACCCGCAAGCTCGGGTCCGAGTGCCAGACCAAGCGAGAAGAAGAGAAACGACAACGAGTACAGCTGAGCGTACGGGCCATGGTCACCAAAGAAATCCGGACTGACTTGGTGGTACTTCTGGACAACCATGCTGGCTTCCACAATGGACGGTGCACCCATGCCCGCCACACCGATGCCGAGAAGTCCCAGCAGAATTTCGTAAACAGCAACTTGCGATGCTCCTCCGGGCTTCGCAAATCGGAATGCAACCAGGACCGGAACGAGATATAGATAGACGAGAACTGAGATCTTCTTGGTACCCAGCTTGTCCACGCACCAGCCCAAGAACGGTCCAGCAGTCAAGTTTGCCACACCGATGGGGAGAAACATGAGGCCGGCTTGGAGCGGGGAGAAGTTGTAGTACTCGTGAGAGACAATTGGAACCGTCGCGTCGATGCTCCCAAGAAGCAAGGCCTGGACAAATGCGATGGTCAGAGCAGCGATGAGACGGGGAGCCGCAAGGCAAGGCAGGATTGGAATGATACGCATGACTTTTGGCAAATCGGGCGATATTCTGTAAGAGTCGTCTTCGTCTGCCTTTCCGACATTTTGCAAGAGTGATGACAGTTCATCGTTACCCTCCTCAATTTGCGGTTGGCTTTCGCTTGCACTAGTAATGAGGGTATCGGTACCATTCTCACCGTCCCTCTCATACCGCTGCGCTGTGCGGACTTCAATGACAAAAAATCGCATCGTAAAGTCAACGGCCAGAATTGCACACGCGAGCCCAAACACAGCTCCGAGACCACCTTTATCGTATAGAAGGCCCCCAAGTATTGGAGCCAAGAAGGTCCCGACTGAAATGAAGCCAAAGATGGCTCCTATCGCCTTTCCCAAATTCTCCGCCCCCACCGTCTCTAAGCACAAGGCCATGCCCGTAGTCCAAACCACCGCGGCACTGAAGCCCTGCAGTACTCGTGCAACCAGCAGCACCCGCATCGTGCGCCCAAGAAATAGCAGCAGCGTCGCGCCAAATAATGCCGTGACACCCAGCAGAAACGGCGTTCGTCGTGAGCTCAATCGATCCGTGACCACGCCAGCAACGAGAGACATGCCGACAGAAGCTGCAGCGTAGGCAGCGAGCAGGAATGAGACATGTCGTTGGACTTGGTCTGGAGGCAACTTGAGGCCATCGCCCAGAAAGAAGGGAAGGATGGGGACAATCAATCCGTAGAGGAATAGGTCGGTGAAGAGGCCGATTCCCACCGTGGCAACGATGAAGACTTTATTGCTGCGCCAGCGCAGACCCGTTGGCTTCTCCGAGTACTCGCACTTGATTTGGGCCGTGTTCAGAAAGCGCTTCCAGAATGAGAGGCCCATTGTCGCATTTGCGAGGAAACCGTGAACAAACAGCTTTGCCCAAGGAAAGGAGAGTTTTTTGTATTTTCTGCCTTCTATCTTTGATATTATGCAGGCAGTTGGGTGCAAGTTTCATACTACTGCACTTACTGTGCCGTTCCTCAACATCTCGGTAAACACTTTACACCCCCAGCACCTCTGACACCTCCAACACCCCAACACTTGCAGTCCCTACTAGTAATTGATGACACCAAAACGCCATTCTCGTGAGTATGCTCTACATGTGCTGGAATTTGATAGCATTATTACGGGCAAGCTTGTTGGTCCCAGGCAGCAAGCACGCTAATACATTTGCTTGCGATTTCCGACTGCTAGTCTTATGGCCGTTTCTTCCCCCATTCCCTCCGATTCCAACCCGACCCCGGCCACGCCCCGACTCCACCAGCCAATCACACCCTACGCCACGAATGAGTGAGTGGATCTAGATTTTGTAGCTAAATGGAATTCAAATAGTATATTCAAGGAAGTTTTCCTAGTGGGAATAATACAACTTCTTACTTTTCGACAATATGTGATGCTGATGTACAATGGATAACCATTGAATATTATAAATATTGATATAAGCCCCCTTTCGAACATCTCAAATCTAACCAGTACACTCCCTACCATACCGCAATCCCTATATAACATACAAAACCACCAAATCTCAACTCTCTAATTCCGACAAAAAACAAAGCAGAGACCTATCAGCAGCAAATCAGTCCCTAGAAAATCTCCTACTCCCATGTTTACTAGTAATTGTTAAAAAGTCCAATAAAGAAGAATTCCTCAGAAGCCGTCAGGAATCCACAAAAATCCATATCAAACCAAGCAACAAGGAAACCCCTCTGTTATCCCATACCCGTACCACAAAGGCATAACACAAGCAAAGACTGCTACGGCGAGGACTGGAGGTCAAATCACATGACTCCAAAAAAGCACGGTCCAGATACCTCGCTTATTTCACCTGCCCCTATTCTCACTTCCTCACCTCACCTGAACCCGCCCTCGCGACCATCCAGCGTTCTTTTAACAAACAAGTCAGAGTTACCCGTGTACCCAACATTCAATATTCAAGAAGAAAGTTGCAGAGAAACGCGGATTTGGATCATCAAGTCGCCACAAAAATGGTGTCATGGTGGTGTGAAAGCTCTTGTCTACAGGAATACAAAGATCGCAGGTTTCTGGATCTCCAAAGCGGCATTCTGGTGATCGTTTTGAGCTGTGATTTGGAAAGCTTTGCTTGCGTTCTGGTAGTATGTGAATATCTTACGTGTACGAAGGGTTGCCGCAATTGGAGAAGGGCCGCAGTCGCAGTGCGATTTTGCAGATGGGCATCGGTGCATGATAGCAACTCGTTTGAAAGAAGATTGAGGCGCATAGATACTGATGAGGACTTGTTTGTGCGCTCCAAATTGGCTGGTAGACAATGATTACAACAACAAGAGATCGCAAGTAATGGAATAAATACATGGAGGGAAAAGTGTGCCTGAATTGAATCTTCCTCATGTTCGAGAAGTGCCTGAATTAGATCCACTTTGAGGTTTGGCAGGTGTCCGCTGTCAAGCAGATTGTGCAAGGTCACAGAACTCAGATTTGTCTGGCAACATCAAGTGTATACGAGAGCCAGTAAACAAAGCAGCTGCAGCTTGGTGGTGACGCGATACGTTGGGTGGTGCCGCAAACTTGCGGTGGTCACGGTTGTGTTTTGGAGTCAAAACAAAGGCAGCAGCGCCGCGAGTGAATGTGATCAGTTGCTCTGGACACGAAGGGGGAAATTGCAGTTGGTCAAGGTAAACAAAAACACGTAAACACGAGAGCACGACAAATTCACTGCATCAATACAATTATCTATGTAAACAAGAGCTCAAAACACAAGATGTGTTTTGAAAAATATGTATCCAAAGCAACGCAAATGGTAGAGTTGTCATCCATAGAATCAGAATGAAACCGTCCCTGCTTCTTGGAATGATTTGATCTATCCATCTGCACCTGTGACAGCAAGATTGCTGCCACATTGGCCCTGAGAAGGAAGGAGAAAAAGAAAAAAGAAAAAAGAAAAACCTTGCAAAAGTCCCTGTGTGAAGTCAACCAGTAACAAACACGGGAAAGAAAAAATACTCAACTGGAAAAACCAAGGAAAGAAATAAATGGCAATCGGGCGAACCGTTTTTTGGTGATTGTTTTTGAAATACAGGAGTCGTCATCTTCGAAGGACCACCTCGTCGAGTCGGAATCCAGGACCGTTTTCAATTTTTTTTGGCGACCCGGAGGCCTATTTTAGCATTTTCAAGAACGTGAACAAAGGAAAAGGGAAGGGGGGAGCAATACTCCCTAGCAAACCTTCCCGGCTCTCTCACACTCACACCAGGCTTGGTAGCGAGCCTCACGATCCTGGATGGTTCCTGGGCGGAAATCATCCTTGAGCTCTCGGAGGTATCGCTCTTTCTTTTCCTTGGCCTGATACCCGTTAGCCAAAGTCGAAGTCAAGTTCAGAGATGGATGGGACACTTACCTCAAGCATAGCGAAGTGCTCCCGGCCAATGCGCTCCATTTCCGCCAACATTTGCGCAATGTATGCAGGGTCGTAATAACAGTCGGGGAGCGGACCGAACTCGTCATCATCATCATCGACGGCAGATAAGACCGAGTCTGTGGCGACCATTACCGAATCCTGCTCTGCGGGGAAAGAGCCAGGCATGAGTGGTGTTGGACCCATCATCTCACCTCCAGAAAGGATTGGCTGCTGGAAGGCGAGAATCACGGTGGTTGGAATTGTAAACCACCCGAGGAAACATGTCGTGATGGCTGCCCAAGCGAAGCTTGAGTCAGCCCAGCCGGCGAGAAAGGAGAAGCCGATGAGCGTCTGCCAAACAGTGACCTTGTCCATGTAGGAAGGCTGAGTCACAATGGCAGTGACGGCGGCGTATACAGCAGGGAGGAAGAAGCCCCCAAGGGTGCTGAATACCCAGGCGGCGAAGAGAATGGTGAGGGCGATTCTTGCGTTGATGAACATTGTGTTGGTGAGGTACAATGTTTGAAGATGGGTATGTATGTATGAGAGTGCAGAGTATGAGAGTGTGGGTTAGCCAAAGCTAAAGAAGGAAGGAAAAGAAAGTTGGGAAGAGGGGGGCGGAGGTCGATATTTATACCTGGGGGCTGACGGGGAGGTCTGCCACGGCAACCGCTGGTTGTGGGAGACTTTTGCGGTAAACTTCGCCCTAAGCGAGCGCTTTTTCCCAATTAGGCAGTTTGCGCAAATTCCCGTGACTTCCATGACTGCAACTTCTAGTGTCTGCATGGCAACCACTGGTTGCAGGAGACGTTTGCGCTAAGCTTCGCCCTAAGCGGGCGCTTTTTTGAGTTTGAGCAAATTCTCTGGGATTCCATGACTGCGACGTATAGGGTCGACATGGCAACCAGTGGGGGTTGCAAGAGTGAATGACGACACTTCCAGTGGGGGTGGTAGCATGATACCACGAAGCCTCCATGGACCCTTCAGGATGCTGGCGCAAGTAGAGCATTGAAAGCCGTTGCCAGTTCGTGCTTGTCCCAGATATTGTGAAGTATGATTGCTAATTTACTTCGTTCTCCAAGGATATCAAACCTCCAAATCCCAAGCCAATGCGACTTTGACCTCGAGATGGTCTCGCTCTGCGCGATAACCAAAACGTTGGTGGCAGTCGACATCAAAGCGGCGGTACTGTACATACCATGTTAAGCAGAGTATTCATGTGTGAACAGCAAGCTTTTGCGCAAGAGCAAGCGTGCGAAGATCACCGGGGAAAGATTCAAGTAGTGTGGGAGACTGACAGCATCTCTCTTGAGTCGATATAGTTGACAGAGATTGGTCTCTTGTACCGCTTGGCTTCAAGATAGCAACCGTCTGTTTCTCAATATGTGTCGTCTTGGAGAAACAGCCATCCTCGTCCGCTGCGTGGTCTTCTCGATAAGGCAAGACAGGACACAATATTGGCAGTCCATGATATACTTGAGGGGCAAGAGGGTGTGGATAGCGATCTCTGGGAAACTTGATCTAAATAGACTCGGTAGTACCAAATTGTAGCTTCACTCCGTATTTTCATCAAGCATTGCGATTTCTTGCACATTCTTTTGTAACCGCTCCTTCCCATGTGACGCTTGCCCCAAGAACCTCACTCAAAGAAAGTATCCTTCTCAAGACACCTCCGAATCAATGCCCACCAGATGATTAATCTGCAGCACTCTTTTGATATTCCTTTCCAAATGATAGCCAAACCCGAAATTGAATCTTGCAACGTGCCGAAAATTGATCTTTGTATCTCAATGCAAGTTCTCGTTCGTTCCTTGAATTCGAGTTCATACGACACCATTTCTCGTAGAGAGTCCAGATTGTGACCATGGTATTTCTTTCCAACTTGCACGGATAACCCATAGTTCATCACCCCCTTTCGCAAAAAGTCTCGAGCTGTCCAATCCTCCAGGGCCCTTGTATATATAGCAACAGTTCCAGAAGGACCAAGAATACCTGCACGACCTTCTGTTCTCTCACAACGGTGATTTCGACGTCAATGGGCGAAATTTCAGCTTGAATGACGGGCTCGGTCTCTGGAACCAATTTCCCGTAATGTCTCTCCACTTTGATATTATTTTGAAGCTTTCCGATACTCCAAATAAGTTTTAGAACCTACGGTCGCAGTTTGAGAGCAATTTCATGTCGTTCTATAGAGTTTTCTTCCTCATTTTCGGACACATGGTGGAGTAGAGTCTAGCAAGGTCCCTGGAGTGGTTCTCTGAGGTTTGATAGCCAACGAAAGAGATTGGGTGTCTTTGCCTTGGGAATTGTCTCCACGTTAAGCTCTTGCTGCTACCAAGTCTTTTACACTCTCCTCGGAGGATCTTGACATACTCAGTATTACCTAGTTTTTAGATGGATAAGATGGTGGGAAGCAAAGAAGATGTACTTCTCATTGAGCCAAAGCCACAAGCAGAAAGGGGTTTAAGTCGTTTACTCGAGCAAATTCCTTAGCTGACTCGAAAATATAAACCAGCATTCAAACAATGATTACGAGGAAACTTTCCTCGAAGTGAGACAGCATGCGGGCGCTTCACAAGAGCGATTTGGTCGTATTCTCCAATTGATACAATAACTATATCCTCTCTTCAAACTCTACGGCACTTATGCAGTATATTGAAGTTGCTAGCTTGTCCCCAAAGCAAAACTATAGCCACGACAACTTTCCACTACCGACAAAACCTACCACCAGATTCGTAGCGTTACCATAGGGTACATCGCCTTCCTCGCCTAGCTATGTTCAACTTCGACAACGTGTCTTCAAGGATTTTGATATATGCTTCGAAGTAGTCCTGATGGAGTTTCGGTCTACTTCTCTATCGTAACAGGCATATACCTTTTCTCGTGCAATATAAATCTACCCTCTCGCTAGCAAAAAAAGCGATCTAACACACAACTATCATGTTGATAAAAGTCAATATACAAAAATAATGAAACCGCACGCGACACTATCCAGAGTGATAGCACTCATCGTAATAAGTATATATACATGTACAAATTGCATGCAGAAGTACGACGTAGAATCTTTTCATAACAGCGAATGGAAAGGGGCTGTAAGTGAAAGGGCTCAATGAAGTCAGAAAGAAGGCCTTGAGTCTCTTCAGGGGGTTTCTCGTCTTGATTCCATCAAATAGACTGAGACACCAGCAAGCTTCGTAGGCTATCTACCGTTCAGCTACAATGATATACAGTCAAGGGGTGTGTAAAATAGGTTATGGAGAGATTCAGGGATACCTATATTCAAGAATCGATTGACCCACCCTATGTTTCCTCTCGTCTGGTACCACTTACCAACGTTCATATGGAAATTATAGTAAAGCAGAGATATTACAAAAGCTCTCTAGAAAGCCTTTTGTTTTTGGGCAAGCTCATGAGTAAAATTGCTTCCGTTGTGGTGACTTATACTTACGTTTGAATCTTACTGCTGTCTGACAAGGCAGGCCATGTCACAGCTATGGGATTTAAAATATATCACACCATTCAATCATAAAATCATCATAGGTAGAAACTAAGAGAACTTTTGCACTACACAAAACAACCATCCTACCCTACAAAACACTGGCCTCCCTCCCATCCTCCACGGAACAAATCCCTGTTCTTTCTTATCTCCAACAGAATCAATCAGCCACCTACCTCCCACAATTCCTCGCAACACAAACCGTATTCTCATGAATATACCTAATCCCTCCCCCCTCCACCCGGAAAAGATTCGTAGAGGGCACCCCCTCCGGACGGGTGGTATCAATAAACGGAAAATCATTGAAGATATCCACCGCGCCCAGCTCCTCATCAATGACATACCTCCTCCTCCCAATCTTGAGCGGCTCAGGAAAGGCACCCATGGTACACGTATTGGCCATCGGCTTGCTACCACCTGTATACGCGCCTCCTTCCAGTCTGGCGCAGGGCGTACCATAGGGAACTTTGACCTTGGAGTCGCCCCAGGAGTCGAGGTATGCGTCGCCGGCGGCTTTGATGACCGCGCGGGTGTCGCGTGCAGAGTGCGGGATGGGGGTCCATGTTTCCTTTTGGGTCCAGTAGAGATGGCCAGTTGCATTGAAGGCCCAGTCTCCGGCGTCGGCGACGACAGATTGGATGGTGGTTATCTTTTGGTCGGGGGCGAAGAGCATGCGGGTGTGGATTACGTAGGGATGTTTGCTGGTTGCTGAGGTTATTTCTGTGAATGTTGCGCATTCGGTTGTGTCAAGGAGACTGCGATTCTGTGATATGTTAGCAGCAAGCCTTATGCTGAGAAGAGAACAAAGTGAGGCAGGTTGTCAAGTTACTTGGGATCATCAAGCCGAGAAGACAACGAAATGAAGTGGGATTTGGCATACGAAGTCGACTACCACTGCCTGAGCCAACACCCCTTTATTGATATCCATTGGTACATCATTTTCAACATATGTAACATTGTTGGCAAGGGCCGCAAAAGCTTGAACAGAGAGCCCAGCATTTTGTGTGCGAACTGATTGCAAATTGTCAGCTCATATGCATAAGCACCCTACTTATCGAGTTATGTACTCACGATAACTGGCAGCTGCCTCCTGAAGCATTGCTCGACTACATGCTGCCGAAGCACGAGCTATAAACCCAGCACATATCAGCAGAATCAAGTACATCATGTCGCCCTAATTCCTTCCAAAATCTGTATAAACCTCAGATACGTGCTCATCACTTGAGACCCATCGCTTTGTTATATGAAGCCCCACCCAAAGAGGGACCATTCTTTTTGCCTTGCGGGCCGACCCTCTTTGGCTTATACTTCCGGCTTAAATAAGTATGGTACTGGAATAGGAAAAAGCGAGGAACACAAGTAGAGTGATACCCCTCCGGAAGTATGTGAAGTTGATTTGATTCAATCAAATCTCTTGGCGTGACCTTAGCCAGTAGCCAATGGGGCACACTACCGATAGACATGAATCTTTCAAGGAACAAATTAGCATAAGGTCTGGACAATCTACCGAACAGATGAAGAAAACGAAAACACAAGCAGCCAAAAATCTTTCAATGCAAAACAATCTCGGCATTTCGTTGAATTTGGATATTCCTCAGAGCAATTGGTGCCATGAGGTATCACAGCGATCCAAGTAGTTACCCCCGGTCGGGGATTGATAAGGTGGAATATCATGTTGAATGTGTACTGAAGGATAGGAGCACCTAGTTCATGGCATAACAATGCCCAATATTTCGCTTTGACGTAGAACAAAAAGAACAAGAAGTGGAAAACGATAGAGGAAAATCAGTCAAATGATCCAAGAGGAAGAGACTGATTTGATAAGGAAGCTAGCTGCTGTCAAGTAGAAGCTCTCTCATTTACTTGAAGTGGACCTGTGAAGGATCGTTCTGAAATTCTTCATCGCTATGTCCTCGGTTATTTTGGAGCTCTCATTATGCTCTCTACCGATGCCGTATGAAGAAGCTCGAGAGCAAACCTGCCACAACAATACAAATCAGCCGAGTTATCAAATGCCGGAGCTACTTTTGATCATCCCATACCACCACAATAATGCATTCGCATCGGCGCTTCAAGACTCTGTACTCCCAGTTGGACCAAACGAACACCAATGTTTGATGCGTCTCCCTTCATGCTCCTGCTCGACTCAACTTGGTGCCTTATATTTCATGTCTTGACTACTTGATTTATCTCATCCCGATTGTTGATTTTGGCCTCTCATCTGGCTTGCAAATTCCTCAACCTCAATCTTGGTAATGTATTCCCCCGGCACAACCACCAAGCCCAGATATCGGCTTGTCATATCTAAAGTCACAGCTTCATCGCCGGAAATGTTTTTCGGCGCTGGAGGGATCCGATATTCGAAGGTTTGAGCGAGGATTGTATTGCGCTCCTATACAAATTGTTAGGGCTTAGGAAAGGCAAAGGGTTGAGGGAAAAGGTAGGGCATACCGAATCTGTGCATTTGAATTGGCCCAAGAACATCCGGGAGTCGGAGGTTGTGACCCGTAGAGTCTTGTTAAGTAATGATCTGAGGTAGTCTTCTGACTGTGATTTCTCCATAGTGGACGCTGAGCTGGCTATCAATGGTAGTGGTGTTGCCGGGTCGTGTTCATCTTTCCCCTCCAAACTTGTAAACCCGAAGATTCGGCGATAAGATAAAGAGCTTCCATTAGATCCATCGAGTCATTCCGTCGCCTGCTCACGATGTCATCGTCATTCCCTACCAGCTGAGAGAGTGAATACCCGTAGCTATTATATTGGCACCATCGTGTTCTATGAATTCTACGCATGCGCATACGAGCACGGCAATATGTATGCCTTCGTTGATTGTGTCAACGCCTCCCAACGGTTCTCGAATACGACGCCTTGAAGCTCGTCGCGTCTGATTCAGCTTTATCCTGCAAAATAGTCGGAGAAAGGGCTATTTTAGCCTTTTCAAAACTTCAGAATGGGTGTTACAGGACTCTGGCCGATCTTGCATCCATGCGCTCGACCGACTCCTCTGCCGACTCTCAATCGAAAGCGCCTAGCCGTTGACGCGTCGATCTGGATCTACCAGTTCCTCAAAGCCGTTCGAGATAAGGAAGGCAATGCCTTACGAAATTCCCATGTAGTAGGATTCTTCCGTCGAATATGTAAGCTGCTATTCTTTGGGATCAAACCGGTGTTTGTGTTTGATGGCGGAGCACCAATATTGAAGAGGCAAACAATTTTAGGGCGAAAGAGGAGACGTGAAGGCCGGAGAGACGATGCTGTGAGAACGGCTGGAAAGCTTCTTGCTGTTCAAATGCAGAGAAGGGGCGAGGAGGAAATGGAAAAACGGAAGAGAGATAAACAGCGGGAGAATGATGGGCTTAGGGCAATTGTGGACGATGAAGATGCAGTACGGCCGGGCGAGGAGATAATTTATGCGGCAGAGATGGGAATGGACGCACAACAACGCGAAAAGAATCGGAAATTCAAGAAGACAGATGCCTACCATCTCCCGGATCTGAACAATGGTATTGAGGGAATGGGCCAACCAAATGATCCTAGGATTATGAGCGCCGAAGAGCTGGAAGAGTATGCGAAGCAATTCCATAACGGGGAAGATGTAAATTTGTATGATTTCAGCAAAATCGACTTCAATGGAGATTTCTTCATGAGCCTGCCTCCTGTTGATCGATACAATATTCTGAACGCTGCTAGACTGCGCAGCAGATTGCGTATGGGATTGAGCAAAGAACAACTAGAAGAGATGTTTCCGGACCGTATGGCATTTAGCAAATTTCAAATTGAGAGAGTCAGAGAACGAAACGAATTGACCCAAAGACTCATGAATTTGAATGGCATGAATGATTCGGACAAACTTTTTGGAGTTGGAACTCAAAGAATCGCAGGTGAAAGAGATAGGGAGTATGTTCTGGTCAAAAACTCCGGACTTGAGGGTGGATACGCTTTGGGAGTTGTTAGCATCGACAAAACCGTTGGTGAAAGAAACAATCCGGTAGACCTCGAGGCTATACATCAAAAAATCAAAGAAAACCATGATTCTGAGTCTGACGAAGAATTTGAAGACGTGCCTGTCGAAGGCCTGAACCGATTGCCCAAGCCCAAAATAGCACAACGCCAAAAATTAACTTACGAAGAATTCCAGGCCCTAGAAGTCGCGAGGAATCGACGAGAAAAAACCGGCACCCGGAATCAGAAGGCGACAGCTGGCAGAGAACCTTCTATGCAGCCAGACACCCTTTTTGTGGAAGAAGCACAACCGTTAAAGACGCATAATGATTTTGATGATGAGGATGAACTCAATGCCGCGATTGCAATGTCCCTTCAGAAAGATTGTGATGTGGAAGATCTTTCTGAGAGTGAGCATCTCAGCCGCGCCATAGCACTTTCACTGCAGAAGAACCATGGTGACGACTCCGAACAAAACGATGAAATACCCGAATTTGAGGACGTTCCTCTACCAGAATATGAACAGGTAGCTGTCCCAGAGCCAAAACCACTCGTCAATTCCAGTGGTAGAATGGTTGCACATATTGTCAATAATAGAGCGAATGCGGCTGTTCCCAAAAAGAAGGCCATGATTGTTGAAAGTGACAGCGACAGCGACATGGATATACAAGCAGCACTCGCAAAAGCGAGAAGACAGAAAGCTCCAGAAGTAAGACCACGCCAACCAGCGCCTGTTGCAAAAAATATGAAGAACCCGTTTGATGGGCCGCTACCCTTCGAATCCCTAAATCTGAAAAGCTCGATTTTTCGAAAACAGCTTAAAGCAGCAGAGCCTATTCTTGAGGTTCAGGAAGACTCAAACCAAATTGACGACGAAGCTGGTGGCTTTATGGATGAGAACGCCGATAATGCTTCAAACCCTCTTCCACCATGGCTTATTGGCAGTGGTGATATCCGATCACAAGTCAAGGAACAGCAAAAGAGAGGTCATGAAATCGATGCCGAGGACCAACAAAGAGCGGAAGAGGAGCAGCGACTGCTCAGAGAAAAAATGGCACCGATCCAGATTGACTCCTCCGATGAAGGTAGCGATGTGGAGATTATTGACGCCCCAGCGAATACACACACCCTTGGAGATCTTGCTAACAAGATGAGAGCCGAACCTCCCGTTAGTAATGTACCCAACGCTACGAACGTATCTCCTGCGACTGAACCCCTCCCAGTCGAAGTTGCTGGCATCCAGGAAGCAGGAGGAGAGGACGAATCAATTGATTGGTCTGAGAGCGATCATGGGGACATGGTCAGGAAGCCAGTTGGACCAGCAGCGAGAACCCCTTCAAAATCGCTTTCCCCTGAGTTCGAAGACGTGGAAATGGGGCAGCCGGCAAACGTTGATATCAATCTTCCTGACGGTCTCAATAATGCTGTGCAGCCGATAGACATCGAGGAAAACTTAGCACGTCGTGCAACTGATGAGGCATTTGAGCAGGCTCCAATCGAGCACTTCTCCGATTCGTTTGATGAATTCTCTGATCCAGACGATGAAGAACTGCTCACTGCACTTGCTCAGGAAGCCGAGACTCATGCCGCATTCGCGTCAACTCTCAATTCCAAAACACCAGTTGAAAATCAAGCTTCTTTCGAAGCGGAACTCAAAGCTCTCCGTAACCAACAAAAGAAAGATCGTCGAGACGCAGATGAAGTAACTCAGACCATGGTAGCAGAGTGCCAAGCACTCCTATCACTCTTTGGAATCCCCTACATCACAGCTCCCATGGAAGCCGAAGCCCAATGCGCCGAGCTCGTCAGACTCCAATTGGTAGATGGTGTAGTAACCGACGACTGTGATATCTTCCTCTTCGGCGGCACACGCGTCTACAAAAATATGTTCAACTCGAATAAATTTGTAGAATGTTATCTCCAACCCGACATCGAGAAAGAACTCAGTCTCGGCCGCGATCAACTCATTGCTATCGCACAATTGCTAGGAAGCGATTATACTGAAGGTCTTCCTGGCGTGGGACCAGTCACTGCATTGGAAATCCTATCCGAGTTCCCTACACCTAATACGGGACTCGAAGAATTTAGGGAGTGGTGGCTTTCGGTACAGAAACCATTTGCTCCACCACTTAAAGAGGAATCCTCTACTTTCCGCAAGAAATTCCGCAGAGCACAGGGGACGAAATTATTCCTCCCTCCTACATTCCCTTCCCCCGCTGTCACAGAAGCATATCTCAAGCCCGATGTCGATTCCACGCCTGAAACTTTTCAATGGGGTGTGCCGGACTTGGATCGACTGCGGGATTTCTTGATGGCCACTATTGGCTGGTCTCAAGAGCGCACAGATGAGGTTCTCGTGCCGGTTATTAGGGATATGAATCGCCGCGAGGCAGAGGGGACGCAGAGTAATATCACAAGGTTCTTCGAGGGAGCTGTGGGACAGGGTGCGGTGGGAGCGAGGAGTGAAGCTGCGATTGCGAGGGGGGAGGGCGGCAGTAAGAGGATGAGGGAGGCGGTGGGGAGGTTGAAGAAGAGGAAGGATGGGGACCCGTTGGGGAAGACCTTTTCGGATCAGGCGAGTGAGTGGGCGAGGAAGAAAGCTAGGGAGGAGGAGAGGGAGAATGAGAAGGCTAAAAGTGGTAAGGCGATAGGGAAGGGCAAGAAGGCAAAAGGGAAGGGTGGGTGGAGGAGGGGTGCTACTGCTACTCCTAGTCCTGGCGATGCTGATGAGTTACCTGCGCAAAGCCAAAGTCCTACTGCAACTTCTGTGGGGGATGATGGTGGCGAGGCAGATGCCGATGATGAGAGTGGAGACGGGGATCACAGCCCACTCGATACTTCTACAGATCAGGGACAGCCAAGAAAGAGGAAAGGGAAGGGGAAGGTTGTTGCTAAAGGACCCAGAATGAAGAAGACTAAGGTGTGATGCAATGTTGAATTGTGTAGCTAAAGAGAGTACAGTAATGAAATGGAATGGAATCCGATGGAACGTTCGATCGTGTATGTTGTATTTTCCTCCTTCCGCCATTTCTTTCTTTCCCTCCTCCCCCCTTCTCCTAGGGACATAGCAGGAGTGTGTTGACGAAATTTGTTATGTCGTTGGTGGATGTTGGATGCTTCCTCCGTTCCTTTCTCCTGTTTCCTCTTTTGTCTATATAAAAATGAAATGTCGATTTTGGGGGGGCTTTTTGGATTGTTTTGGTGGGCTGGGTGAAGGGGTATATGGTTATGAGCTCAAGGGCATTGCGTTGCCGCGTTGTCTAGTGGTTTTTGGGTCTCTGGGTTGGTTGGAGTATCACAACCACGGGATCTCGCCTCGGTAGTCTTGGGCGTCGGTGTAGGTTGGCGCGGATGGGTCGTTTACTATCATGAGGCAGATGCTTTCCTGTGGGGTTTGTTAGTAGAGTGCTTTGGTGTGGTTGGGTCCGTGTTCGTATTTGCGTTTGTGTTTGTGTAGGAATTGGGAGTGAGGGCAGATGGGAGGTTGAGGGAATTTGAGATGAGGGAGACGGGAGTGGAAGTTTCTTGATTGTGTTGTGGAAGCTGGGAGAAGGGAGAAGGGAGGGGTGAAGGGGAAATTTTGATATGCTTCGCTTGAAAGGGGTGTGTGATGTAAGTGATGGAAAGAAGAAGCAAGCTTCACAGCTTGTTTCTGGTCTGGCTCGCCTACGCGTTCCTTCCCTAACTCGACTCCACTTCGCTGACCAACCACAAAAGAAAAGACTAATATAGACCTCGCAACCGATCTTGGTCGTAGAGAGTCCTCGTGGCAGCAAAGTGTGCCTCGCGTGCTGAGAAATCAAGAATCCGCAGAGTGGGAATATGCCGAAGTCATGAATATACGTCGGGCATGGAGGCAATATAAAAGTATGGATGAATTAAATTACAGCAGCACAACCTCTCAGATCAAGATACCCCTGGCTTCCATAACCCACCTGACTGCTGCTACTTCCCTGATAAGCACTCGAAGTGCTGAGCAGGGTTAGAGACGCAGGTTGCAGGATGTCTACCAGTTGGTTAGTTGGCGTTGTATATGTTGAGGATCGACTGGGAGGCTGGTATGGGAGCGGCATTAGTAGAACTGTGGAGCGAGAGGGTGAGTGGTATGTGACGAGGGTCATGTAGAGACCTCGTGAAGCGAAGAAGGTCGTATTTGCTTGGTGAATTAATTGTCTGTTTTATGATTAGATGATATGGTTGGTGTTGGGAATTGGGAAGTGTGCCTGGACTATACTTACGGTTTCTCCATTGCAGATGATTTTGCATACAGAACAGCCGTGTCGACCAAAGCAGCTGCCGACCTTGAGTCTAGAGCAGCGAGGTTAATCACGTCAAGGTATGTAAGAATCTTGAATGGCACGTGTCAGTCACCAAAAGGTGTTACAAGATAAACAAAAAGAGTGTGCTTATAGCTTACCGAACAGGATCGATTCAAAATATCTAAGAAGTTCAAGAAATCGGGTTGATTAACACCCGCATCCTGCAGCGAAGAAGTATAAGCTCTGATCCAGCCACTTCTTCCATCCTCCTGTGGTATCAGAACCGGCTTATGTAGAGGCCCTCTCCCCGAATTGCTTGCATAACCTGCAGGTGCTCGTGTGTCTGACCAAGATGTCGAGCCAGGGTTATATGTAGCATCCTGGGATACACGTTCTGAAAAGTCCCGTTGGAAATCCGCGTATTGTTGCACTTCTTCATAGGCTGCTTGATCGTCTCCTAATCCAGGATCCGTTGAGCTCAATGCTTGAACAGGAGGTATTAGTCAGGTTTTGATAATCTTTATATGGCGGAATATGCCGGTGCGGCCGCTCAGTATGACAGAACGTGGGTCTTGTTGTTGACAAGTGTTGGGCTTATTTGGTATTTTTTTGCAACAGGCTCTCGGGGAATTCGGGTGATCTACCAAGATGCGGAATATGGCGACTTACTGGAATATGACTCTTGCCGGAACTCGTAGTATCCACCGTCTGCATTTCTTGGTGTTTTTTTCTTGTCTTTCGACGAGGTCTTAGAAGAGCTTTTCAATGAATGGTGGGTCTTGCGGCTCATATTGAATGGAGAAAATGGTTTTTTGAAGGAGTGAAGTAAGCAGTCGAGAGGAAGTATTACGAGAAAATCCAAAGAATCCAGAGCCAGAGAGGCTGTATTTGAACTGCAAGTCCAGTCCATCAAAAGTAGAGTAGAATATATATAATGGTTTTAAAGCCTTGAAGTTGACACTGCAAATGATTGGGTATCAAAAATGGATTCTCCGCCCAAGTACAAGGTTGATAGCCTTATGATGACGATACAATCGGAAGTTACGAAAATATGAAGGGTTGTATATGGTAGCGTCATCTCTCATTCATCGTTTGAAGTTGGTCCTGTCCTGAGCATGGTGCACTTGTGAGTCCAAGTGTGAAGTAAGCATAAGGAACAACCGTCAGTGTGTTTCCCACCGAACATTACCTTGATCTAGAGAGTAGGATTGTATATTGTGACTCCTTGATGGTTAACAAAAAGCCAGTTAGTGGTTACAATGGCTCGTCGTATGTGGATCGTATACGATTACACTAGGTCCACCCACTAAGAAGAAGTATAGGACAATTGATTCAGAGGATGGATAATGGTAAGGCTGAAACCTTCTTCTGATGAGCCCTTAGCTTCTTCAAGTGCGGTGCGTGCAAGATTTGTTGGTGAATAAAGGATTACAAGCTACCAACTATGATTCCATAGCCCCACGGCTTCCAACGAGCTCCAACGAGCCAGTAGTAATCAATAATCCTGTACGGGTTTGGAAGGAGACTTAATAGTAACCTTAAATAGTTGATGCAGAAATTATAAGCTCCGTGGTTACCAATTACGAACCATGAATCACCCCATCACTTGTGGCTGAAATATTGAATTCGATCCCTCTGCGGAATTGTTGTTATGGGGTTCACAATTTAAGCTTAATTATTGGCGTAAGTATTTATTCCCTTTTTGCTGATATCTCAACATAGAGTTGATGATGAGGGCGCGGAATGCTGGTTGTCTTGAAAGAATGAATCCTCTGAGAATCCTAGAACGACCAGTGGTTCCCTCTGCAACGCAAGCTATATCCATTTACGGTAAATACCAGTGCATGGCCTATTTGGAAACACTTCATTGCTTCCCAACCCCATCGGTCAATTGGAAGGATCGATAGTTGGGAGTTCATACTTATCTAAGACTGCTAAGCCTTTATATCTCAACATATTCACAGATCAATATGCCGAAGGCGTTTGGATGGGGGCTGGAAGTGGCTCGCTAATCGTATAAGGATTGTTCGAGAAGCGAGGCTGATAGACTTCACTTCCTCACATTATAGCCAAGGGCCCTCTGGATTGGGACAACGGCCGGCTCTCAGCTCCTTAGATACCCGGCGCGGTGACATTCTGAGGTATAGCTTAATTGTAGGACCAATCAGGTGATGTGGGAGACCGGCCCCCAAAAAGTGGGAAATCAGATGCGCCGCACAAGGCACTTTTACCAAGTGCCTTTGGCTTTTCATCTTCTGTATTCGTTCCCAAGTGGGAGAATAGTTCTTCTTGGCTGCTACGCATCTGCTTTAATGGTAGCGAAATTACTACCTGTAAGCAACCAAATGTTCCATAGGTTGTTCTTCACAGGGATATGCAGCAGTGCAAGGTTTCGATTGATGCCAACTATTATGTATGCTATTCTGGGGGTATTTGTAACGGTTTAGTGACCGAGAGCGCTCACGGATTGTTCGTAATCAGTATAATAAAACGCTCAACGTTTTTTCGTACAATCGAAGGGGTTTCAATATGTGCACTTCGAAGGATAATCGGTCATTTCTTTGCCTATATAGACAGAATTTAAAACAAAAAATATGAATTTCGTGCTATTTCGTAGGAGTGAGAGAAAACGTCATCGTGAAAATCGTGAAAATGCCAACATGGTTCCGGGCCACTTACCGAACAGCTCCACGCGGGATCCTCCCGATAATACGGGCTTTAGATGACAGTCCTTTACTACTGACTGCGGCTCGTATGTTCAGCCCAGAATTGTGAAAGGCATGCAAAGATGCGGCGTTAAAAATAAACCGTGTACCTAATGGTGGGGAACCCCGTGAACTTTTCGATGCAGCCAGATCGGAAGGAAGTTCTAACGGTCAAATTCCGAATGACGAAAAGAAACAGAATCCGGATATCACCATGTCGACAATCTTTCAACTCTGAGTTGAATAGACAAAATATGAGATACCATGTCTGCTGGGCTCTTAGGGGAACTTATTCCGTCCTTTTGTCTAATTTCGATCGAAGGAAGGTGAACTGCCACAATGACCCTGGCAGTCAATTCAATAATGGCGACATGTTAAGCCACATCGCTGGTGATCGCAGCCATGGTCCAGAACCCTAATTGATAATGTCGACTCACTTTTTTCGTAAAGTTTTAAGATGAAATCAGAATTATTCACCATGACTGTTATTACAAAAAACGCAATTGTGATTGAGTGAGGGGCGGAAGGCTGCTATTCTGGCGCTTCGCTTCGCATCTCACCCGCACCCCTGAAAATAACAAGCGAGGATTACCGCCTGGCGGTGCTTGAGGAAAATGTTCGCGGAAGTTGTACTCACGGGTCAAATTCTTGTACCCGGAAAGCTCTCTGTTCCGTGTGGAGACATTCAGGTCAGCAGGAAAATAGATAGTCTACGACCAAATCAATGAGGATTTGGGGTTTTTGGAAGATTATAAGCGCGGCCGCCGAGGCTGCCCGCTGGGCGATTCTGTCAGCACTGACGCCGCTTTCTGATTGGCTCTTTTCTGTATACGTCCAAACGAGATCTTCATCCCGTTTCTCATTAACCTCCACGTTTTAAGCACGTTTACTTCCTGGCACGATCACTGAACGTGCTGGACAACCTTCAATGCAGGTCTTCTTATGTATGAAGTGTTTGAAAATAGATCTCATCGCTGTCACACGCCAAATTGCCCCCTGACGCATCCGTGAGGCGTGACCGCGACCAGTCGCATCAAGGAAAAGACCCATCAGCAGGCGCTGATGCAATCAGGGAATACTTCAAACGTGTTACATTCCTCGAACAATCTCACCCACGCTCACTTTCAACTGTCCTAGCTCAGATAGGCAACCCATTCTTATCGAATAAAATTGCAATTGTATACATTTGTATAATGGTCTACTGCAGAAAACCAAGCCAGTCGTGTGCAGACTGCCGCTCGAGACGGACCAAAGTAAGCTCAAGTTTATATCATGATAGCCTTCAATTGTATTTACGCCGCCTAACTTTCATAGTGTGATAGGAAAAGACCGTCATGTTCACAATGTATTAGAGCACGCCGAGTCTGTAAAGGTGTAGGTTCAAAATATCCCTCACCTATCCACTTTCATGACACGCCCCTGTGATGGTTGTCAATCTTGATTGCGTTCACTCCATTCTGATTTGATTCTCTCTAATATACCAAATTTTATTGTTCTTTAGTATAGAGATCCAAGTGATTTAATGTTCCGAGATGAATCTCGCAACTTAATTGCCAAAGCTCAGCGTCAAAGTCCGCCGAAGTCACGTACGCAAGCCTCTTCAAAGCGAATCCAAAGCATTGAAAAAGAAATCATCACCCGAGCTGTTCTGTCTACCGGTTCTCATTTCGTACCATCCTTCTCTGTTCCTATCGGCTTAGAGACGTCGACTGAAGAGCAAGCCACCGCATTCTTCTTTCAAAACTACGTGCCAGATCGAACCTCTTTTCCGACAGGGGCTTTCCAATATCTGGAGGACATCTTTATTCACGAAAGGTCCACCAAGCACTCAAAGATGCAATCTCAGCGTTGGGACTTGCAAGGCTATCAGCATTCGTAAGCTCTATCTTTCATTTCGTATCTCGTAACAAAACATACCTACCAATATCTACATGACAAAGTTCTAATCAGCGAACCGGCACTATGTAGTGGAGATCCCCCAATATCTTGCCAACAGCGCGCATTAAGTATACTTCATCTATGAAACTTCTCAGCTTGCAATCAAAGGACGCCAAGGAAGCGAAATCCAACCAAACATTCGCTGGGGTAATGCTACTAGGTCTCTATGAGGTAAGCTGTCGCCTTGAAGTCCGATTCCAATCAAAAATATCATTGAAAATCAGTAAGACAATTACTTGCCATGAAGACGCATCTATGGAAGCATGGACGAGGCACACTCTGGGATCTTCGGCAATAATGAGATATCGTGGCAGAAGGCAATTACGTGAACCGCTAGGTCGAGAATTATTTCTCCATCATCGGTCACAAGTGGTAGGTGCTCCCTTTAGATATCCTTCCATAATAGCCTTTAACGAATAGTTCAGCTTGCGAATTGTATGCAGAGACATGCATTTGTACCCCCCTTCATTCGTCAATGGAATGAGACTCTGGATATGGAGAACCCCTGTGAGCATTCTGCGACTGTGCTCAACAATATATCAGATTTGTAGATTTGCGTGCAGATATAACAGGGTTACATGAGTTCAGTAATCCGGAAGCAACCATAATAAGGGCACATGCCATCGATGCCGAATGTGTCAAGTGGGAGCAAAATTGCCCAGCCGAGTACGTTTATCGAACGTTCCAAGTAAAGAGACAATCAGAGGAAGTCTTTAATGGGAGATACGATGTCTACTCGAACCTTTGGATCGCGATGATCTGGAACAACCAGCGCTCGCTCCGGATTCGATGTCAAGATCTTATTCTCAATCAGCTCAACCGCTTTTACCGCACGAATCTGGCAAAGGTATTGTTCAATGACGTCAATTATTACCAGAGACAAATACGCCTTTCAAAGCAGATTATTCTCAACTGCTCAGTGGATATTATGTCTAGTATTCCAGGGTTTTTAGGATTCAAAGATGAACCCAACACAGAGCGGAAAATACCCAGTTCTTTCAATGACAGTCTACTTCTGTGGCCTCTATTTAATGCTGGATACAACGATATTATCACGAACGCCCAACGCGATTGGATAGTCGGAAGGCTTCGTTATATATTGGATGTATTGAGCGTTCGACAAGCGCAGCCACTGATCGAGAATCTTATCGATAAAACTGCAACTCATTGCTGTAATGGACCACCAAGATCGCCGCCAATCCTGTCAGACTGTCGCATGCCAGGAGACTCAAATTCTGCCATGACCCCATATTCAAATAAGACTCTGAATTCCGATGCTAGTCAATTGTGGGATAGAGGTATTTCCACCTCACATGGAGATAACTCCCTAGCTTCGCTCTCCACCTATTTCGCTACTCCCCAACAATGCTTTCCAAATTTTCCAATCACTCCATCCAAGTTTATCCAATCCAGCATTTCCACCATACAGAACGAACCACACGCTTACGAATCTGGACCGTATCAACCGAATTCTCGATTCATCAACTGCATTTACGATGGAAAGGAATCCCCTCCAAGCTATACAACATTCTCTTCAGATAATGATTCTTCTCTCATGCTCGAAGACCAGAATTTCCCAGATCCTTGTCCCATCACTACTATCTCTTACCACATGTTACCCTACCAAACCTTTACCACCTCAATGCCGCTAGAAAATACGAGGGGATTGGACGCCATGAGTGGATTCTTTGAAGGACAGTGGTAGTACGTATTGATGTGTGACGATAATGATATTGCCATATTGGGCGTTTTAAGTTTTGATAAAGAATGCATGAATACTCGAGCTACCCCAATTGCTTTCTCGCCTGAGGTTGACATGCATCATACGTTTTATTTATGAAAATCTAGAGTGAACGATTGAAAAGTTAAAATCACTGAATGCGTGTGATAGCGCACCTTTCTGTACCGATATGAGATTTTTGAACATGTCTTGCCAATAATCACTCCACGTAGGACCCACCTTGCGTAAAACATACTCATTCCTGTACATCGAGTTACCCGGCCTCCATTTCAAAAACAGGTGATAGCAACATGACTATGCAATCTTTCGCTCTCACAATGCACTTGAAAATCGCAATGTGCTTAGGGGTAGACAGTAAGAAATTCAATGTAGCGGTGAACGAACGGTACAAATAATTTATGCAAAGCAACTTAAAATACAAACAAAAGAGATCTTTTAACCCATCCCAAACATAAATCAATACTCAACGCCATCTTTCTTCATCTCATTGGCTCCATATCCTGAGTTCGAAACCCATTACAAAAGCAAAAGTGCAAAACAAACCATGGCTCCACTTAAAAGAGCCGCGTTCAATCCTCCATTAGAATTTCCTGACCCAGTAAATGATACATTGGTAGTTGAGGTGGTGCCATTGGTACCATCGTTCTTTCCCACGCCTGTTATGGTGGTGACATTAATTCCAGAAGAAGTGTGATTCGTGCTACCTTGGGCACAGAGCCCTTGGTTACTCCACAAAGCGTCTGCAGCATATTGCCAAAGAACACTGTAATCCGTCAACATCTTTGCTGTGTAAAAGAAACGGCATTCGGCAGTTTGGTACACAAAGTGCAACGGGACATCTTGCTGAGACTTTCGGATTTGATTTCGCAGATTAATAACATTGCTCTTTGCGTCTCCAGAAAATGGAGATGAACCATTAGCGGGAAAACAGCTTGCAGGGAGAGAACTGTTGATCTCTCTTATGGCTTCCCCATTTGTATCGATGTCTGCGAATGTAAAGACTTCGGAGCCTTTTACACCTCACTCCTTGCATTGGTCCTGGTTCTGGACGACCACCCGCGACTACGATCTTGACGCCAACTTGGTGCATCTCTTCGGCAAAAATGGCGCATGTTGAACTACACCTGCCCTGTTTCTTGTCAGCTCGTGTTTTGGAAAGAGTGAGGAATGAACGTAGGCAAGAAGGTTCATCAAGTCTTACATCAGTGAGTAGAAGGATGTCCTTGGCAGCAAAGTATTGGGGTGCTCTTTGAGTGTTTATACCCTGCGCTTCCAAAACCTGGTCGGTTTTGGTGAAGTTCACGCGAAGTGTATTTGTGAACTTATCACCCTTTTGCGTTTGCTGGTTAATAACCGAAGGCCAATTGGGGAAGCCTTTTCCCTCAAAATTGAGGTATGTGCCATAGTAATACGTGGCAGATACGTTTTGAGCTACCATGCTCGCATTTGCTGAACCCCGCGTTAATCCCATTAGCTCTGCAGATGGCGGAAGTCTGAGCTGGCTTCCAGCAAAAGGCATAGTTGTTGGAAAAAGCTATCGGAATAGCTCAAAACCCTGAATAACGCAAAGGATCAGTTTATGTTCACGAGAAGGAAAGAGAATTATAAGGACTACACCTTACTGCATCAATAAGCCCTCCGCCGTTAGCCTGGAGATCAATGACGAGTCTCTTCATACCCCCCGCTTTGCACTTTGCAAGAAACTCGGCGATAGTTGAGGCTGCTGTGAGTTGAGCAATTTCGCCCTCGAAGTGAAAACTTGGCAGTGACAAAACAGCTGTGGATGATCTATTCAAGAAGTAGCCAGTGATGAAGCCTCCAGCACCAAGCACTTCCTGTACCGCAGCGGGTGCCGGGTAAGGGGCTATAGTTCCAATGTCAGCTTAATTCAATAAGGTCCCTTTCTTCGAAGTGAACTAGTATTATGGGTATGCGAGACGTCCAAGGAAACTTCCGCTTCTTAGGAATAAGCTCGTGGATCTACTTAGACAGCCATGCAGATCATACTTGATCATTATGGACTAAAAGAAGATGATAGTGTTCTAAAAAAGAATAAAAAACAAAAAATAACTCACCGCCCCATTCATTTAGGGAAGGCTTTTTTTTGGCACTGTAACCTCATCTTCTTCCTCATCATCTTTTCGGGGTGTTTAAGGGGTGCCACAAATTTGTCATAGACCCCTTGACCATTCATCACGTCTGTAAAATCAGACAGAGTGGCCGCAGTCCATTCTTCGGTCACAGTCGTTCCATTAGTGAAAGTGAGAGTGAAATTTGTATATCCAGGATAGTAACTGACTGCCTCAAATGGTGAGTGGGAGCCAGAATTTTCGGCTGCAGAATTGGAAAAAAGTTGATTCCAGTCTGCTTGAGAATCAATAAAACTCCGGAAGAAATCTTTGGCGGCTTGAGTCATGTACTCAACAGCTGGTTTCCCATTAATAGTTTTGACCGCGGACGCAGGCTTAGTTGTCGTATTTCGGGTGCCTGTCAAAATCAAATCCATATCGCCTACAATCTTTCGTTAGCTCTGCTTGATTGTCGACCCGTCTGTACTTACTGGAGACAAATATCTCTGGCATCTTGATACCATCTTGAGAGATGGATACAAACCGATATGGAGTTTTGAATATGAACAAGTTCAGAAGTGGAAGCGAGGGACTAAAATGCCCATCGTGTGCAGACTGAACAAGTTTCTAAACTGCAACTTCGAATTCGTATTGCCCCTTGAACTTTCCAGCGGTGACGGAATTAGCGATTGTATCAAGACCGCCCATTATATCGACTGCGGGCTGTTGATAAGAAAGAGGGGGGTTTTTGAGCCATCCGAGAGTAGATTGAAACTCGACATAAGGCTTGATCCATTTTATCCAATCGGTAGCTGCTGCCATGTTTAGAGGGACAGACTGCAAACATGCGTAGGCGAGCTCCGCTGGAAGTGGCTTTTCCTTTGCGAAAGCAGTCAGAATATCTTCAGGCCCTATTTAGGCATGTTAGTGGACCGTTTCGATTTATAGAACGAGAAACTCTACGAAATTGCATAGAAAACCTCGAAACTGAAATAAGAGGAGGGAAACATACTCGTGTCTTTATCTGAATTTAGCAGTGTGTATAGAGTCTGCTCGACACCGATGGCAGCGCACGCTAATCCCGATAGTAATTCTGCGGTTATATTTTCCCTTTGTAGGAACAGCTGTAGACGTAGGCTTGAGTGAAATCGAGACTTTCGAAGGGAGATGAGGTAAAGTTGATGGAATGGCAGGAGGCTTGATGCTGAAAGAGGGCTTGATTGTTGATGAATGCTTGAAGCTGGAAGATGGGAGTCCTAATACGGGCTGTACAAGTACACCAGCAGCGACGGCAAGTTTAGTGATTATTGAGACTGACGGCATTTTGTTGAAGAGAGTTTATTAGTTCGCTGCCTGACAGACCTGTAGATACAAAGGTTATATTATCGTAGAGCACATTGTCTTTATATACACAAATAAATTTGTGAATTCAACTTAACAACAATTAACAGTATGGTGGCTGCGCATTCTCTTCATTTCCCATTCAAGCTGTATGCATGGCCCCAGGTTAGCGGGTACGATAAGCGAGTATCCCAAAGGAACACTCGACTCACCATACGACGAATAAGGAGTGTCATGGTACGAGGGTTTATTTGGGTTGAAATTCCGCTTGATATTAGCGTTGAAGAGACCTATAAGCGGAGAAAGGCTGTGTCAAAAATCCTTCAGAAAGTGAAGACCCATGGGAAACAAGCCCTCGTAAAAAAGCCTAGTCTGAAGCCGCTGAGCGCTTCGTGCTTTGATGAGATTTTATGACGATTTATAGAGAGTAGCGGATCCTGTAATGTCTCACTCGTCTTAGATGATTTACGGCCACCACGTCAAGGTGTTCTAATTCAAATTTACTCAGGGCTGTGTAAGAGATGGCAGCAAATCTCGTTTCCGTCTCACCTAAGCGTCTCGACACGTGTAGATGTACCCATGAGAGCCCACAATTAAGCTTTCAACTACGCAGTGATCAAGAATAGAATGCTTACATGCGTTCGGACTGAACTTGTGGGATACAAATAACTTTGAAGCGGAAAGTAAGGAACAAATATTCTTGGTTGCCGGCGGAAGAGAATGTATTCCATTAGCTGACAACAAATTCAAACTCTAAAATTGAGAAACTAGTATTACTGTATGTACGATATCACCAATTTATAATGTGAAGTAAAATGATGTGATGTGGGGTTTGGGTATTGTATCATCATTCGTCCTTCCGTGAGCCAATAAAAACTTTGATCCTCCAGGATTTGAGACGAAGAATGTGGCATACATGCAAACGCCAACAAAAAGGGCTTGTATATCCAACTGTTGCTACGCCTAAAGCGACACTGTACATTGGGCGTTCAAAAGCTTTGCTTCAACATCTTGTAAAGACTGCGACTCCAAGATTTATCGTTGTTGTTTATCCGATAACTGGTGATCAGTACTAGTGTGTATTTTCTGAGAAACGAGATCTCGAAGACCCCACGTGTGACCATTTCGTCACTTTACTTACACGAAACTAACTATACTCCGTAAAGGACGTACATATTAAATCTTTTAGCGCAGCCTGACGGTGCTGAAATTGCGGTCACGTGGAATAAAGTAATAGCACCTGCACTTTGGATCGAAGAGTCAAAAGGGGTCAAGATGAGGTCATTGATTCAAATGATTCAAATAACTGGGCAGAAATTGACTCTGAGTGAGAATTCCGGAGGAGGAGTCGAAGTTGGAGAAACGTTTTTGAATGACAAATTTGTGAAGAGGAAAGGTTTTCAAGGAGGTAGGTACACGAAAGAGCTTTCAGATCGTGTTTGCCTCGCTGATTGATAAATTAGGCTGCTGAGAACCCTCGAGACATTGAGGAGAGGATTGAAGAAGGCGAAACGGTTTTCTGCAAAAGTCAGCTGACCAAAACCCCCTTTTCTCATTTTGTCGTCACGTGTATGGCTTGATAATTTGGAACGTACTGGTGAATGGGGTTTGATTAGTTGAAGTAGATGGATTAGTAGGACCTGATTGGTTAAGATGGTTAGCTAAAAAAGACTTCGTTTACTCAGATGCTCAGGGTAATAAGGGGCAATTAACCGAAATGGTTAGATCAATAGAAAGTGCTAAATATAAAGTAGCGATACTAAGATCGAGACTTGTACGAGGAAAACGGGGCACCTTCCTGTTTATTATTCAAAATGGCGGGACTTTGTGGCTTCTTCCAAAAAGAAGCACATATGTATAACGTATTGGTAAAATGTTGTGTTAGTTATGATCACCAGTGGTGAGTGGGGGAGTAAGTGAGGTAATATACACTCTAGACACTATACTTTCAGGTTCAGGGTCGGAAAAACAGACATCCGCCACTGCAATCACAATGTTCTAATTTTACAGACATTAAATCCAAAACCAGAACCATCATACAGTGAGCAACAATGCACCACATTACGACGTGCTTCCCTGATCTAATCTTCGTACAGAAAGGTAATCAGCCACCAGAATGCGGCAAGGAAGGTGTGACGGTGAGAAAGCGAGGGTATAAGTAGTAAGAAGTTGTTGTGTGTGAACATTCATATTAAGGCATGATTTCACCTGGCGTTTGGGTCTTGGGAATAGGAGTATGTACATAGTCGTGGTAGCGAATTCTTTCACGATTTGCGACTTACTCATTTGGGATTTCATAGTATGTTTTAAATGTTATATGTACGAACCAAGTGAGTTTATATATACAACCCTTCTGAAAGATAGGCGAAGAACGTTTTATTTACGCCTTCTAAATAGCCAGCTTCTTGATAACACAGTTTTCACCACTACACAGCTACCGTTTTATAGACCTCTCTTTGAGCGAAAAGTTCATACCTCCACCGATAGGCGAACATTCCGATAATCTTAATCCACCCTCGAGAACTGACCATCAAACTCCCATATAGGCCCTATATAGACCTTTCGACCAGCAATAAACCAATAGACCACGCAAAATAGTAATGCAACCCCGAAGATCAAAGCGTTATAGTTCATAGTTGCAGGTGAAACTGTTGGAGATGTAGGCCAAAAAGAGAAGAAGAGAGCGATGATAGTATAAATCATCGCTGCAATGGTGATAGGAACCCCAAGTTTACCCAGTTTGAATGAGCCCCAGGACATTTCGGATGCTGGCGTGGTAAGACGTTTGTTCAGCATAACACCGGCGGCAAGAAGAAACGAAGAATAATAGGCTGCAACTACAACCGAGTAGAAAGCTTGAAATGCGGTATATGTGCCAACACTTATCAGACCCAGAATAAAGTTGATAAATAGTGTCGCAAAAATAGCATTCATAGGTATGCGACTTTTGGGATCGATCTAAATATGTTAGTATAAAGGTATTCAGGTACTCGACTTAGCATGATCTTGTACAGGGTGTTTCATACCTTGACGAGGAGGTTTGAAAACGGGAGGCCGTTTTCACGGGAAAAAGCCCAAAGTGTTCGAGATGCCGTTGCTATCACACCGCTCACCGAAAATATGTTAATCGCAGTAACAACAATTATCTGTAAGAGTTAGACTAGTAATATCTCGAATTGGGAAATTGGTACCAGAGCCGTCGCTGCGCTAGTTGAACCCAAGGCAGTAACAAAAACGTTGATGAAAGCAAAACCTGTCGTTGCTTCTGTAGCTGCGACGAAGTCTGGAATGCTAAATAGAACCGCCATCATCATGGAGAAACCGAGGACCCCGTTAAAGAGCGTAGAGAACCAAATAGCGAATGGAACAACTTTTGAAGCCTGCTGAATTTCTTCGGCTGGTTAAGAGGTCAGCGCTTGATCTTTTCCTGTTTCGGATACTTTGGATAGACAACTATAATTGAAATGACATACCGATGTGATCAGCTCCGTCATTCCCTATAAAGGCACTGTTTGATGAAATCCACCCAACAAAAAACGACAACCCCATACTATCCCAACCACCAAGATTTTGAAAGACGGTGAAGACCCTTTCAGCTGTTGTGTGTTCTGACAGATATACCATTGGTATAAGCACACCAAAGAAACCAAGTATATACGAAATTAACATTAGAGCTTCGGTTCTTGGCAGAAGTCGACCAAGTACGGTGTTCATAAATAAGCCAAAAAGACCAATAGCGTAGAACATGAGCGTTGCGTGCCATAGTTTGGGCTCGTAACTAGGATAGTTGATGATAACAATACCTTGTATAAGAGAAGCGCATGTGTAGCAAGCCTCGGCGACGAAAGCTTGCCAGGAAATTACTGTGAGCCAGCCAGCAAGATAGCTCAGGAATTTCCTACACCAGGAAGGTGATAAAATAGCGACCCAATTAAAGGGGCCCCCGGCAAGTGGAATCCTGGTATCGTTTGAGCCAGCGAAGTGGAGACCGTTATGTATATAAACTTACATCGATGCCATTTCAGCCATCACCAACGATTGAAACATGGCGCCAGTCCATGCCGCCAAGTACCCATATATCAATCCTGCAGGTCCCCCGTTGGAAAGGCCCAGTTGAAGAGCACTTTAATCACGCTAAATTAACAGGGGATTATATGCTGTTCAAGAACGCAACTTACCACAAAACAACCTCCCATGTCAACATCAGTCCGCATGTCAATCCCACCGAGGACAAAGATTTGAATCGTCGCTAGACAAAACATATCAGCCTTACTGTAGGCAAGGGCGAATCTAGCTTTGGAATCAATAAACTTTGGAGAGGATCATACCTTTAATTGTTGCTTCTTTCCAAATTTGGCAATAAATGACTCATCATTTGAATTCGAGAATGCCAAACGCGATGCCGCAGTGCCTCCTCGCTGTGTCATATTACCATTCTCCGTGTCGGGTTCATATTCAGCAGATGAAGCAATGATGGTCCGGTTGGTCGTCTTCACATCATCAAGCTTGTAGGACGACATGATGAATGATGAATGAGAGCACAAAGAAATAACACTTCGATAACAGGGACAAATGACAAGAGAAACAAGATTATTAAAGTAGAAGGGGAAGCTCGAGCTGGTGGCAATTAGAGATTATTTTTCGGCCAGGTAACTGGGCCAGGCCTCGCAACCATGCCGGTTGATCAAATAGCATCTTGTACCGGTACTGCTATCCGCTGTATGTCTCGCTCACCTCTATTCTGCGGGTCAGTACATTGGAACATATTTATCCAGCTCGCAGGACCAACCAGAGCTTAAGGAGACCAACACCAACAATATCCCGGCCTATATCACTGCATGAGGGGCGTTTGCTGTGCTCCTCTAATGCATTTGGGTGTGTTGGAAATGCTTAACTCCTGCATGTTGGTGGAGACTGACCGTTGGTTAATTTGATATAACAAACCAACTTGTTGGACATCCCCCATTGTTGGATACATATCCCCCATTATTGCTGGGTGTCCCCCATTATCGAATTTGGTGATCATGCCCGATTTCTCAAACAATACCAATTACCACCAACATCATGGCACTCAACCCAACGGCAGCCTTTTATGATAATCTCGGCATGAAATACGAGGAATCATTTGGCCATGATGAGGGGCTAGTCGATTTCATCAAATCCAGTCTAAAGTTTCTCCCTTCCAATGCATCGGTTCTTGATATTGGAAGTGGTACGGGCAAGCCCCTCTCAAGCATGGTAATCGCAACTGGTCGCAAGCTCCATGGAATCGACTTCTCTCCTGTCATGATTGCATTGAGCCGCCAGCAGGTTCCCACGGCAACCTTTGAGGAAGTTAATATGCTCCAATTCATACCCAAAGAGCCGTATCATGCAGCATTTGCCATCTTCTCCCTTTTTCATTTCTCGCGCGAGGAAATGAATCTTGTCGCTGAGAAATTCGCACAATGGATTCTACCTGGCGGCTACCTTTTCATTGGCACAATGACCGCCGAGGACTTCCACACCAAGCCACATATGTTTGACGACGACAAACAGTGTGCGAGAGGTATTGAGCATACCTTTATGGGAAAACGTATTGGGAATTTGCTGTACACGAGGGCTGGTTGGGTTGCGCTCTTGCAGAAGGTCAATACTGAGCTCGTTCAGTTCCAAGCACCACCCCACGCCCAATGCGATTCCGAGCCGCATTATTATATCACTGCAAGGAAAATGTCTCCTTGAGCCTCAGACCTTGTCTAACGTGTCCTAAATATATGATAGAAGAGGCTCGGTGGACAAGATAATCGGCAGTAGTCTTGGTGCCGGCATTTTGGTGTGTGGCAGGCAATAAATATAGCGACAGGGCCTCGACTTACCTACCTATTTGGTTAGAGGGTGGGGGAAAACGGGTGGTGGATCCCAGCGGGAGTGGAATGGATTGCCGGACAAGGCAGTTCGTTTTCCCGGATTATTCCGACTGGATACATGCACAAACTTCCAACCAACATGTTTGAATTCTTTTTCTGAATTATTCCAATTGGCTACAAGCACAGATCTCTTACCAACCTCAACAAGATTCTTGTTCCGCGTTGTTCTAATTATCTATGTAGAGCACATACCGACTTTTGATTGGAGATTCCGCGAGATCAGATCCCGCCACATTCAAAATCGTAGCAATACTTCCTCGTCCATGATCAATTATCAAAGAACCATAAACTTAAATCACTTAGGTATTTGAAAGAAACGAGTGCTTGGTCGTAAGATATTACACACCCAAAAGAGAATTTAAAGTTAGCGGCGTTTCAATGCTTTTGTTGAGAAGTGTCTATAAGTACGCGCTTCATGACGCTGCCGGTAAGATGCCTGTTCATTACTCTGTACACACGGTATAACGGTTATTACACTGAACTTCTAGTGCAATTGTGATAATCAGCTTAATATACCCGAGAAAATGTCAACGTTGACAACTATTTCGAACTCTTTATTTTACTGTTTTAATTATAAAAGGCATTTATGATAACATTATTCTGAGAGGGATGTGCACAGAGTAACGATCACGTTTCTTACAGCTGGTTTGGGATACACACTATCCCGATTCCCGCGAGCATATATCGGTAAGGATTGCAAACGTGTGATTATCTGGACTCCCAGTACATGCGATGGAGTTGTTGGTGGCGCGGGGTCCCGTCACAAGAGTTTACTTTCCGCAAACCGTCGAAATTGCTACCTACCCGCGAATTTCAGAAAGCAACGACTAGGTTTATGTTGGCAGTAAAACTGCCAAGTTTTGATGCAACGCTGCGATGAATAGGTCTACATGATAAAACAAAAACAAAATAACTATTCAAGTCGAGAGGAACAAAGCATAGCCTCCCAAAGTTAACCATCTCCTTTTATTTTCTTAAGAGTAGCATACCGAACCTACATTATAAATTATTTACTCGTATATTCAGCAGTATCGGTGCACAAGCTGACTTATCCGTTGAGCGACTCAACTCTAAGATCTCTCGTTCTTCCTTCATCTTTCCCTGGCCCTAACCGTCTTGTGTTTTCCTCGAAATATGGCCATAGTTAATTCCGACCATCATGGACCCCTAATCAACGTTGGGATGTGGATATTGCTAGTCCCCATGGGCTTGTGCGTTCTCGTTAAGATCTACACAAAGTGGGAGATGGTAAATCGGTTGCAACTCGATGATTTTCTCCTGATCTTTGCCATGGTATATATTCTTCAACATCTTCAAGCTCGCTGCTCATTTTAATCTTTCTACTTTTAGTTGGCTGCTGTTGGTCAGATAGTTGCAACATCTGCGCAGGTAGAGTATGGACTGGGTCAAAACCAGACATCTCTATCATACAAACAAGTGGAACAGTTCTTCCTGGTATGTTATTTATCTGAAGAGTTCGAGTTCTAAGGCTAAGATCAATGACTAGGCCCAATATGTAGGTCAGATAATGTACATCCTCGCTATCTTCATTGCCAAGCTTGTGGGACTCTACTTTTTCCTTTGCTTGACAGCTCATGATATCAGAACAAGGTTCGTACAAGGAGCTATAATTTTTGTCGCAATCTGGCTTTTTGTAAGTATGTTTGTCGTCGGCTTGCAGTGCCAGATACCAAAACCTTGGATTAGCGAGTCCAATCACTGTATAAATCAAGTATATGCTCTTTCTTCGAAGTTTCCGCATTCCAATGCTAATGAAAACCAGCGGGTGTTTTGGGTGGTCTTTGCAGTTATCGATGGATTAACCCAGATACTGGTCGGTCTCCTACCAATTTATCTCCTCCAAGGACTCAACATGCCTATATCGAAGAAAATCCTCTCCATGCTTTCTTTCTCTCCAAACTTGATGTAAGTTTTCCTTAACCCACAAGACAAATTTCAACAACTAAAGACTCGGTAAAAAGAACACTATCTTTGATCGTCCTGCGCCTTAAATACCTCTGCACCTCATTCCACTCCCAAAACTATACGTGGGACTCCTTCAACCTAGCGCTAGTAACCAATATCCACGCCAGCACAAGCATAATCGCAGCCAGCATACCCTTCACAAAACTCTTCATCGACAGTCTTGTTCTCTCCCCGCACATCGTGACGGACGGAACGAGAGGGGTTGTATCTTCTGCCCGCCCTACACTACGAGGAAGTGTTGTCTCAACTTCTAAACCGCGGAGGAGCCCCGAAGACCAGGTGAAATGGCCGGGAAGTAATTTGATAGAGCATGTCACAGCGGTAACAAGCATCAAGTCGGATTCGGGCTGGGAAGAGTTACAGGATTATAATGGTTCCAATAGGGATAAAGGTTCAGAGGAGCGGATTGTTATCAGGCAGACTACAAGTACTACTGTAACGTTTACCTGAGTGGCAGAGTAGATACCCAGTGTTCCATAATAGGGTGCGTATACCGGGAGTAGAAACCTGGATATCAATTACGAGTTTGTACTCGATACGAGTAGATGATTACAGTGTGGTTAGTAGTATTTCTGTATTAAAATACTGCCCATTACAATATCTCCTAGACGGGTCGATGATTTTTTGACCAGGATTTGCCACCTCGATATTTTTTACACCAAATTATTTACACTGAAAAGGTCGTACACGTCCTTGACCCACCTGAAAAGGTCACTGCCCCGTCTAGGAGATACATACTCGAGTAGAGTCGCAGCAAAATTGCAAATTACCTCAGGCCCTTTTCTAACCAATTCGAGCGCTCTCTCTGTTTGTCTTGGGAGTCTTCTGTGCATGTTCACGAGTGCGAAACGGCCTTAAGTGTATTTCATAGTAATAAGAGTGTTTCTAAGTAACCCAGCCGAGCCCAGCTTTCCAGTTCACCTGCGGTCCCCTCCCCCACTGGCCTCCACGTGAAGTGCCAGTCTAAGGGCAGCTGAAGGGAAATGGAAGTGAATACGAAGCAGGCCAATCATATCCTGAGATCAGAATATCAAGTGATGATTTCTTCTAAAGAGTCAAAGTCGAAAACCTCAGATAACTTCACCGCCGCTCTAAGGACTTGGCAGGTTCATTCTGATGTTGGATGTTGGTTGTTGCCCTATTATGTTGGAACTATAGGTCTGCAGCAGCTCAGCTCAGAAAGAAAGTTCGATTCTCGCAGCATGCATGTGTTGATACACATGCGCTACCATCACATCAATTGTTGTATAGACCAAAACTATTTCGCATTATAAACCGAGTACGTACCCAGGTATTAGTACTTGAAATGGGTTACAAACTGCTACTTTCTGCCTATAGGCGGTGTGGACAAGCTTTCTCTTGGCCCCAAGTCGCACAACGTACAGCTTACAAGACAATTAATAGCACATACGGTTCCGGCCCTACGGCCCTAACCTTCCGAAGATAATTGTGATATGTCAGCAGGCAATGCCATTCCATTATGTGGAAAACCCCAAGAATCCCGCACGGGATCCGTCAGGCAATGTACAGAACCCTCAGCGCTTGCAAACGCGGAAACCAGAAGGCAGCATTCGATGATTCGACTCGAGGTTCCAAGAACGCAGCAACTACCGATGGCTCATTGGGACTCATGAGAAGGTAACAAAATGCAGGCAAGTGTTGCGGGAATCCCCGATCCATTCCTCCAAGGGTACTTCTCCAGTCTGACGGCTACAAGGCACCATGGCAATGACGACAAATGACAACATTGATCTTGCTTCGAAACGCGATACACATCTTTCCTCACTGATTCAATTCTAGCCTTGATATTTAGCTATGAATTTGACCTCTTTTTTGAGTTTGTCATCCTTCTAGACTGTTTCTTCGTCGTCAGCTTTCCACAGTGTTCTGCTGAAAGGGTCGATATGTCGGAAGTCGCCTTCAAAATACCATGATGCACATCAACGTTCCTCTCCATTTCCATTTTTGAGTAGTTTGGCGCGGTTCCTCATCACCAAAGGCAGCTGCGGCGGTAATTCTGTCATAACAAGCTCAGCGTCTAGCTGCTGTGTTCAGAAGGGGGAGAAGAGGCTGAGGAGCTACCTAGAGTGGATTTTTTTAGGGTGGTCTGAAATAGCCTAACGATTGCGCCGGTTATCTCCATCGCAGCTATTATGTCACTGACATCTTTGCCTGCTAGATGTTGACAGAGGTGTTCCTGTTGCTGAATTGGTGTTTCCGCTTGTTCGGCCTTCTGCGAAGTTCGCTCATAACGGAGGTCTCCAGTTTTGTGACCAGGAATTGGCAGCTGAGTTTCAGAAGCTTTGTAGAATGTTGACCGTTCATTCCCCGCATGTCGAGAGGGGGAACATTATTGTGGGTAGATCTGCCCTCATGAACACTCCCCAGACTTTATGAATCATACGTTTGACAAAATGACAGAAGACGCTATTTATTAATCATCTATGTCATCTGAGTTTGGCAACCTGAATGTTTACAGGAAACTTGCTTAACCAGAATTGATAGCAAGTGAGAACAGCTGATTCTATACAATTGACCGACTAGTTTATGGAAAGACAGAAGAAGAGGAACTTCAGCGGAGTTAGTATGCCCCTTGACAGTCCTTCCCCTCTCGGCTGAAAAGAATCAATTACAAATTACATAGCTGAGAATACGCTCAAAATCACGCTGCAATGCAGTTGAGCAAATAGTAGTAAGTTGAGCTGGTGCTGCTTCAGGGGAGCTAAACATGTTGAGACTCCATCAGGAGAAATGAAGCTGAACAATGCATTCCTTTTAGGCGCTCACAAGTGAGTACAACAATATTCAACATGGACCTCCAAATGGGTATAAGTATCTTGAACATTGCCTCCAATTTCTCTCCACCAACAACAGCAACTTTCTTCTACTTCATCTTTCACAAAGCTATAACTTCTATCATCTCTCGCTATGGCTCCCTTCTTTATGAAGCTTGCTACATTGGCAGGCATTGTCGTATTTGCCTTTGCAGCAGACGACACATACTACAACCCCAAGATCGAAAACCCTACTGCATCAGACGAACTTTATGTCCCTAACAGGTGGTCCGTTGTTTTCTACGATGGAAATGTCACCTCCACCATGGCACAGCGCCACTATGACGAAACTTCGGACAAATATGACGGGCAGTGTACTCTGACTGGACTCTTCAACATCAACAATTTCCAGGGCTACACCCTTACCGCTGACGTCTCGGTTGTCAACGAGATCGCTTCCTCCAACCTGGTAAGCAGATGCTATCTATGGCCGGCATTCACCGATTGACTGGTTGTTAGATCTCCTATATCTCGAGAAGTGCTGTCGCCTATACAAGTGCAATCATCACCCAAGAAGGTTCCACATACGGTCTCGCCCGTCTATCTCGCAGGGAGGCTCCTGCGACGACCCGGTACTTCTACGATGAGAGTGCTGGTGCTGGTAGTACTGTCTACGTTCTCGACACTGGTGTCACCGTTGAGGCTCCCGAGTTTGAGACCCGCGCCACCTGGGGCCAAAATTTCATCCCTGGTGAAGGCGTAAGTACCGGTATACCGTTGCGGTGCCCAGTTACCTATACGGTTCCCTAAGTACGTAAACGCTCAATACTAACGCAAGCTAGTTGGACGACGGCAACGGACATGGAACTCATGTTGCTGGCACTGTTGCCAGCAAGACCTGGGGGGTTGCGAAAAAAGCCAATATCATCGCTGTGAAGGTTTTGCCCGCGGGTGGCCGTGGAGGCGGGTACACTGTCGATGCGCTCAGTTGGGTCATCAATGATGTTCAAAGAAATGGGCGGCAGAACGTTGTGATCAACTACTCTGTGGGTGGACCATATGATCGTGCCGAGCAGGAGATGTGGAACGCGGCAATCGGGGCCGGTATCACGTGTGTCACTGCTGCTGGTAATGGTCTCCTGGGAGTTGGAGTCGGTCTTGATCTCAGCGTCCGCCGAAACGACACCGCTTGGCCAGCACAGAATACCAGACTCATCACCGTGGGAAGCATCGACATCAACAACGAACGCGCTTCTTCCTCTAACTTTGGCTCACCCGTCGATGTGTGGGCCCCAGGTGTAGGCGTTATCTCTGTGAGAAACGTTGCCACCAACGCTACCCAAAGCCTCACTGGAACCAGCATGTCTTCTCCTCATATTGCCGGTCTTGCCGCCTACCTCCTTGTCCTGGAGAAGCTTCCGAACCCAGAGGCCGTCCGCCAGCGCATCGTCGACCTCGCCACCACCGGCGAAGTTCGCAACCGTGGCAATAATTCCCCAGACCTCATTGGCTTCAACAATTTCGACGGAGTCAGGACCACCACCAGCACCTCGAGCACCAGTACCACCACCACCACCAGGAGCACCAGTACTAGCTTCACCACCACCACGAGCTCTGTCGTGACTTCCGATCCCGTCAAGCCTACTTCAGCGCCCTACAAGCCGGCGCCAACACCTTACAAGCCCAAGGGCAAGGGCAAGAAGCCAATCGGAGGTCACGCACGTCTGTAAGACATTCAATGTAATGGCATCGCCAGGAATAAAAGTACTTGTCTATTGAGATTAGGGATTTTAGAATATAGTAATACAAGAGTTTCTCCCCTGTCATGAATCAGTCTTTTTCGTCGTCTTCTAACGAGTAGCGCGGTATATTTGGCAATCAACTCACATTCAGCAACATATAAGATATGACTGACGAATGACTCCAAGTACTCTTTAGCTAGACTCACTGCTTCTTTGTCACTTCCCTTTAATTTGTCTTCTGCTTCTTTTTCTATCCCTGCGTTGCGGATTTGCTAATGAAAAACTGTGGTATATGAATTGTTGAGTGGCATGTTACAGGGATAGGAAAAAGGTTTTAGTAAGAGGAGGCGTTAGTACCCCCTCTGTTTCAAAGTGTGGTCAGCGTAAGAAATAAGTAGAGAACAGTAGAGAAATATTACCTACTCTACTTTAATTAAGTAGTACTCGAGTAGTTGAGTAGTTCTTTCGTACGCCAAGTGTAACAGGTAATTTAGAGTAGGTAAATGGGTAAGTGAGAGAATGCTAAGCGAGTTTACACATTTAGAGGATTCATAATGTTAAGGGATATTACGTTTTTTAACGAGGATGAAACTAGAGGGGAATATTTTAGGTTTAGGTTAGGGGTAGGTTGAAAGGTAAAGAATGAGATATACAAGCTCTAAAGAATCAGGAACTAATAAGAATATATATACGTAGGGTAGACAAATAACGTTCAAGTTTTAGTTATAAACATAGTAAAATAACTAGACTAAATATGAAGGCTAATTACAGTGAGGAGCGTAGAAACTCTATAAGTAGTTTGTTGGAAATAGAGAATTAGTCTCTTTTAACAAATTCGATAACACGCGTCTGTACCCCGATCTATTGCCTCAATAAATCAGTAAGTTTATATGCGAATATCTCGCTGAAAGCTACAGTACCTCAGCGTGAGAACACATATCCTGAACCTCGGAATCTGGGCTCCCGAGAACGTGAAGTAGTACTACCTACTAATAGTTGGTTATTAATAGTTAGTTAACTAAACTAATAGCTTATTAATAGTTTAGTTATAAGATTCTAGTAGAACTAATAACTTATTGGTAGTTTAGTTATAACATTTATAAATTAATAGTTAACTATAGTTATTAATAGTTATATACTTAGTTTATCGTCCATTCGTCACGTTATAAAAGAAGGCTTATTTTTGATTTCTTATATTACTAGCTAGCTTTAAATGCTTAGACTTCTCACATATTATAGACTAATTAGAAGGCTCTATTTAGTGTAAGTTATTATAAAAAGGTATTAGTATCCTAGGCCTCGCTACCTATTTATTTATTTATTGCTATTTAACGTCAAGCGGAGTCTAGTGTAACGAATACTCAAACTGGCTAACTAAACTTGGCTGGGTGTTCGCTGGTTGGTATGCTATGATAAGAAGAAGACTATCGGGTTGTTCACTTGGAAGTGAACTCGTTACTTGTATCAAAGATGTCAAAC